AACAGGGGCCAGAGGCTTTAGTTTCTTCGAAGAGGGTGACCAAACCACAGCCACCAACACTCCAACTCACCAGGCCTTTGGGTTCTTTTAGAGGGGAATTATGTTGCTCTTCTGAAGTTATTTCAGTTTGCTATTACTCATAAGTAATTTTTCATTAAATAGCTCAAATTTATCACTGAGCATAACAATCAAAGGAATTTGATTACCTCTGGACTGGGAGAAATGATACTGCTATCCAGAATGAGAGAGCTGTATAGCACAGACAAAGCCAGGCACTTGGCAGTGTTACAGTGCTGTATTTTCCTGCAATCTTACAGCACTGCTCTTCCCCTGGCACCTCTTGCTCTGACTCTGCTGCATCTCCGGGTATGTACTTGGTTCACAACTGCAGACCAGTGGAAAATGCAACAATCCTAAACATTTCCAGGTTTTTAAAGGATGGAAGGAGGAAAAGTGGGTTTCTGGTCAACCTGGCTAATCCTGAGTGCTGACTAGGTCTCCCTGCCTCACCAGCCTCACTGATGCACAGCTCAAGTGCTGCTGGTTCCATCAGAGTACGTGTGGGTGCATTCCAAAACAGACAGCAGGACAGCATGTGATAGCAAAACTTTGAAATGGAAAAAGGCCTTGATCTTCTTGTAAAAGGGATCAATTTTTCCTTCTCCTGTAGAGTAACATGGTTTTTGAGGTTTGCATTAATTAATTAGTACTATTAAAAGTTAACAGTAAGTAGGGATAATATAAAGTGATTTTTCCTGAAGACCTACTAAATTAGATTTACACACAATGATTAATGAAAGGAATATAATATTTATACACAGCAATGGGGAAATTTCAGTAGAATAGAAAACATTTTATTTCTTAGGACAGAAAGCACAGAAATAGAATCACAGAAGGAGGTAAGTTGAAACCTTTATATTCTTCCCATATGTCATATATTCCAGGCCCTGGTCCTCTTAATGGCTCTCTTCTACCTCTCTCCAATTTGCTAATTTCTCTCTTTCTTGTAGGAGTAAATTTTAAATATTTATATTAAATTAAATATTAGAGCAATTAAATTTTAATTAAATATTAAAGCAATTACATGAAACAATAATAGGAAATTATGCCCTGCAGGCAGAATCCATAGGATCTAAATAGAAGTTTATGGCTGAGATGATTATCATCTGGAGTCCTTAATGGTCACTGAAGACAAATAATCTGTTCCCAGAAGGTGTCCTAAAGTCGATACTAACATTAGGTTAGATGACTTTACATCTTAGATCTCTTCACTGAACATAACTCATCCAAAGATGCCTGGCTCAGAGGGAAGCACTGCCACTGCAGATATCTGAGGGTAGATGACAGCAATCCTCCCCCTGTGGCTGTATTTGGGTCTGTGCTGGAAGCAAACACAAGGCACAGTTTTGCACTGGAAGCTCTGCAGGCAGCAGCTCCACTACTCCAGGTATTAATCTTCAACCTCAAGATGCACAGAAACTGTTAACTCTGCTTTGCTTTTAGCAGGATGGAGAGTGACAGGAACTTGGTCTCCTTGCAACATATCAATTCACAACTAACTTTAAATAGCATATTTAAGTGCTCCTAGCAAACAATTCCCAGGAGAAATCCGTCTTGTTTGTATTAAGCATTGCTAATGCCCCAACAGGTGGATTTGCAAACACCACTCTCAGGGAGACCCCTGAAGTTACTGAAGACAACTGAGAGACCCAGCAGACTTAACAAAATCAGCAAATAACCTTTTATGTGGATTAAGACTTAAATACTCATGCTGCTTGAATCCTCACATGTTGTTCTGTACGGATATGATCACCTTCTATTATTAACACTTAATACATTTAATTTTCTGTTATTTTAAATAAATATGAAATGCCTTAAACTGACTTAGAAAAATTATGTTCATAGTTTCTCTCTTTTTTTTTTTTTAATAATATATATTTGCCATATAAATGACCTTTCAAACATTGCCATGTCACTGCTCAGTAGGCTGCAGCAGGCAGCTGCTCCCTCTGCTTGGCCTGAATACAGCAGCATTTTTCCCTGGAGGGCAATCCGTGACATGTCTGAGCAAGCCAAGAACTAGCCAAGTGGGACAGCTGGAACTGGCTTCTGTGCAGCTGGTTCTTTGTACTTTCTGTCTTCACTGGGCAATAGCCTCAGAGCAGCAGTGTCCACTGAGCTCCGTGGATTTACCCTGGCTTTTAAAGTCCATCTCTTGCAGGAGGCGCCGGTGGCTATCCAAAGGCTCCTGGAAGCTCAGGTTATGTGTACTGCAGAAAGTCATTCCAAAGGTAGTGGAAGATGTAAGTGACATCAAAACAGTGGCAGAATTACAACTCACATGCCTGTGAATAAAGACTCCCTTAAGTGGCTTGCATTTGATCATCCCTGGTCATACCTCTCTGATAAACAAACATGGAATCACAGAATGGTGTGGTCAGAAGAGACCTTAAATATCATCTAGTTCCAACCCCCTGCCATGGGCAGGGATGCTTCCCACTATCCCAGGTTGCTCCAAGCACCATCCAACCTGGCCTTGGACACTTCCAGGGATGGGGCAGCCACAGCTGCTCTGGGCAATCTGTGCCAGTGCCTCACCATCCTCTCAGCTGAGGTTTCATCTATGGCAGTGGCCTAAGGGACACTGTAGGGTTTCACTGCCAGGGCTGGTCACCACATCTTTAGGTGTCTGGCTCATTAAATCCTATAAGGAGCCCTCCTGCACACCAGAACCAGGGGCATGGTTTCAGGTGCTGGAAGAAATTTATGTAGTATCTGGAAGCCTAGAAAAGCAAGTTTAAGCAGGGATGTGAGCTAAATATATGCACAGAAAGATCCTTGGTACCACTGGGGAGAACATAACATCTGAAGAAGTTAAATTAGGGGAGGAAGAACTTGACATTCACCTGCTGTTACAATTTCCTTGCCTGTTCTCCTATGAAACCACGCATTCTCTCCACAGCCAGGAGTCCTTCCTGCAACAGGCTGACATGCCTTCTGCAAAATGCTTTCTCTTCTGTGGCTATGACTGCTGTCTGAGAAGAGGTAGGGGGTCTCTAAATTGCTTTCTTTGAATGTTAGAGGAAGTCACAGTCATTGCACTGACGTTTTGTCCCCCATTGCATGATAGAGTGGGGGGGTAGGCAGAACAAAAACTTCAAGTAGGAAAGGTTTTACCAGCATGGAAAAGTCTGTCTTTGATCTGAAAATGAAGATTCTTAGTAAGTGTTCAGATAGGATGGGCTGTCTCCTTCTTCTTAATATCCACCTGACTCATCCCTAGAATACTGCAGAAGTCCTCCAAGCTTTTCTGAAGAGCTGGAAATGCCACAGCCAGACACAGACACCTATCTCTGATTTTCAAGTTGTTCTACAGATGTTTCCATGCAAATAAAAGAAAACAATTCTGTGCAAAAACCTTTAGGTCCATTAAAATGATTAGAGCTGTCATTTTAGTGTCTTCTTCTTTTCATACTTTCTCATGAGGTGTCTCCCCCTTTGTTTTTAGACCACAAAGGCTTCTGGTGAGACTTCATGCACCAGCAGCACTGCAGTGTTAACGAGGGGAGGGTTCCCACTGTGACGGACAGGATACCCTGCATATTTACAAAACCTGTTACCAAAACACATGGAAGGAAGAAACAATTTATTTTTTATGTGAAAGGGAAAAACAGTGGTGCTGGTTCCATTTTGACAGAACACTTAGGTGCATTTTGACCTGTTTGCCATCTCAATTCTCATCTTTTCCATCCTAATAGAAATACTGATGACATTTCATATCTCTAGCTTTGAACATTAAACTTAAACAAGAATTTTACATCATTTAATCTTGAATATTCTCTGAACTATGCTCACGTTCTCTTATAATGATCTGCTTCATCCCACTGTAACAGTGAGCCTCTCTGGACTGCCAGGCTACTTCTGCCACCATAATTATTTCCCTGAGATTCTGTCAAGATCTACTGGTGACGGTGGAAAAGGAAGAAAACAGATCCTCTACAAGCAGAAATGGAAACAAATTAGATAGGAAACTGACTAAAATAAGATAGTCATCCATGCTAGGAAAAAAATAAAAGGGTATTCTTGAGGGAAGAGACACTTCTAATGTTGACTTGGTATTTTTCCTTTCCACAGCTTAAGTTTGTGTTTCAAGACTGCTGAGAAGGGGTGTTTGTGTGCTGATTGGTGGTGACTGAAACACTGCTCTGAGTCCTTGCTTTAATGGGACACACAATGCAGGCAGCATCCCTCTTCCCCAGAACATGAGGGGTGATCTTGGCTGTGTCATGGCAGAATGTTCAAAGAGCTCAGGAAGGACTGTCTCCCCTTCTTCCTTCACTGAGCTTCTGAAGCCATGCTTCAGTCCAGTCCAACTCGGGCTGTGGAGCTGGAAAGGTGTGATGAAGGAGGAATAAATGGGGTATCCCTGAATGCAAGGCCCTGGCCAGGCTGAGTGTCATGCCCAGCACAATGACATCTCTTTCCAGGGGCAGTGCTAACACACATGAACTTGTCCCAGCTGGTCCCACCTGCCAGTGCCATGATGCTGGAGCACAGAGATGCTCATGGCAGGCACACTGTGGAGTGGGATGCTGCTTTACACATCCACTCCTTCTACCCCCACTAAGCAACCAGACAGCTGCACTGTCCCCTGAAATGTCTCTTGAGGGAGCTCACTGCCTTGGAGCTCACTGCCTAGATGGGTACATGATGCAGTGATGCCTTTTGCATTCTTTAAAGATGTGGTTTTAATCAGGGAACTGCCTTAGCTTACACATTTCAGCTAAGGAACCCTTGGCAAGGGTGCTCTGCAGTGCAAGTGGGGGGCCCTATGGAGGAATTTCCATGTAGTAATGAAATTAATTTAAAGAGTTCAAAAAAGTAGCATTTTCTGCAACACAGAGAGGGAATGAAATGCTATGTTCCTTCAAGAACTGGTGTATTTTATCTTGCTCACTCCTTTGAAAGTAGGAGAAAAATCAAAAAGCAGTCAACACAGCTGGGCTTTTCTTTTTGTTTACTTGGAAAACTTATTTTAACCATCAACTTTAGCAAATTTTGGCAGTTACAAACCTGTACACTTTTTTTTTGTTTTGTTTTTATAGCAAAAGAACACAAGACAATACTGCCAACAGCAATTATGAAGGAACAATTAGTTTTCAGATGAAGAACTATACCCACTCAAAGTGATAAACCTTCCCTTTTGCATAAGGTTGACTTTGTTGTCATTGGAAAAATGACATTTCTTAATACCTACTTGAAATGGAATAAAAATCATACCTCTAGGTTTTTTGTGCAAAACACATTCATTTAAAAAAGTCAATAAAAAAATCTTCTTAAAACCAGAAAGAAGTTAAACAAAAAGAGCTGAACCAAAGGAAAATTACAGTACATTTTGAAATGATTAAAAAGTTTTCAGATCTAAATTTTTTTTCCTGTTATCTTAGAAGCTTAAACCAAGTTTGATGACTCTTTAGAATTATATCAATCAAACAAACAAACAAACAAACAAAAAAATTAAAGCAACCTGATTGGCATCAAATATCTACAAAAGCCTGGTAATTTGAAACCATTATATACATTATTTTATAAACTTCTTTTTTAACACCAAAACATACATCTTTTACAAACCAGCCTGCTTGAGACAGGTAAAATTTACAAGACAATCTTTTCCAATACAGTGCTTTAAAGAGAACTGCTTTCACTCCTAAACATCTTTGTCATCTCCTGAAAATCGGCAGTATGGGCTCATTGCATTGCTGATTAATAGTGTTTCAGGTATTCCTATGACAAAAGAATACTACAGTTCTGAGGGCTCCAATCTCTTTCCATAATACAGTTCAAGTGCACTCTTAACACTGGTAAAGATTACTTATGGCCTTTGTGTAATACGACATATTTGCAATTATTGCTTTTCATTATTACATAAAGAAACAAATTTATTTTCATTTCCTCCCCATCTGCTCGTCCCTTGGATGATGCAGCTAATTTACTAACTGGATGGCCCTTCTGATAATGGAGACGTTAAATGTCAAGTTCACAATCTCAGGCTAAAAACCATGGGTAATGGGCAATGGTCTAAATTTCTAAGGCTCAAATCACATTTTGGTGCATTGAGAGGAGCAGAGATGCAAACAGGCAAAAAGCACAGTTTTTACCACATGGTAAATGATGTAAATCATCAGGGAATGAAGTTGAAGATGTAACTCTCTTGTTGGAAACCAATGAAATGCCCATTATTACTACGTGAATAGCTCCAAACATTATCTACAAAGCACAAATGTACTTTCATACTGGTTCTGAAGAGCTGGCTTCCTCCATTATTAAGGATGCTTTCTTTTCAAATGAAGCTTAGCAGAACTGGTCCAGGGCACCTTCACCTCCCTCTCCCATGACTGCAGTTATTGACTGTAAGGATATACTTACTATAGCATCCATTTAGCTTTTTCGATGAGGAGTAAAGTGTGGTCTCAGCCATTTGTCCTGTTCAGCATGTTTTCCTTTATGATGGAATTTATAGGAGACCAGAGCAACAACTTTTATGTCATGTTCTCAAAATGTCTCTGCCTGGCTCACAGAGACAACAGCTGCTGCCTCCCCATTGATCAGCATTTCACGACATGCTTTTATTCACTGTGCTACAGACACACTGAGTTTCTGACTAGAGAGGGTACTGATACATCAAGGCTCTCACTGCTTCAGACTACACTATCGAATTTAGAGAATGGGAGAAAAAATTCTGAAGACCATAATTTAAATTCTTTGTGAGACGTGCAGAGGTGGAGACCATACTTGACAGATGGTGCACACAACTTTCAGGTTCAGGAAAACAGTGGCAGTGAGAAGCCTTTGACTCCTTCCAGCCTTTCTCTGGAATTATATGTTAAAGAAACCCCTAGGATAGTTTGGGATCAAAGACATTACTGAGCTTAAGGAGAACTCTATTGACAGGAAGTCACAGTTCTGTAGCCAATCTCTGCATTCCAAAGTTCTCCTGGTTGCCTAATAGGCTGTATCCTATAAGAGGATCCTAGAGGAAGGCAACTTTATGTAGGTCTTCTAGTGGGGTTGTCCATTTTCTCCCATGAGAGGAAAGTGATTGTACATCTCCATGGTGTCAGATTTGGCCCTTTATTCCACTTCAAGATACTGGTCAAGGACAGCAAGTACATTCAGTATCTATAGTTTTGTGGGGGGTTTCACCCCCCCGCTTTTTAAAAAATATTTATAATACAAAGTAATTCACATACTTAAGAATGGTACATAAGCCTAATTTTTTGTTTTACACAGGGCCACCTAATGTGGTATTGGCAGAATAAATCATGTTGCAGTCACTGTAAGGGTCTTTCCATTGCCAGCTTTATTAAAAAGGCCAGCACTGCACACGACACTCTCAACTTGTGAGATCAAAATGCAGAGAACAAGCACCCTTTTACTTAGACTCATACATCCCTGGCAAAGTTCATGATTTTTGATATAAATGTGTGTTTGTATTTTAACAAGTTGTTTTTTTCTCTTGCTGCTTCTTTCCAAAAAGCAAAAACTTTCTTGATCCTAAGTTATAAGCCAATGATACTTAAAAGTACTTCATTAAGCCTATGAAATCATCTGCTACAGATTATTCTGAGAGAAAATGTCGTGTAGTGGAGCCATCTACAGGAATGCAGTTTGAAATACAGACAGACAGGATAGGCAGAGATGTGCAGGGTAGCTCTTGCAGAACCAGGGACCTGACAGCTGCAGTGCTACAAAAATCATCATATGGCAGAAAAAGGAAACATATATTGGAAATGCTAATATGAACAGTAATTCTTACATTACATTATGGATGTGTTCCTATGTTCCAGATTAGAAGATTTTGACTTGTTTGTGTGGAGTAGTAATTAAAAAGAAAATAAAATGGCTTGGTTTAACAAGAGATGTCAACATGAAAATCTTACTCCCTAAGAGCTACTTCACCTTTACATCTGCATTTGGGTCTTACCATTATCGAAAAGAGCCTGAACAAAACCAGAAAGGCCACAGAACTACCAATATTCACAGAGGGGAACCTGAAGATGGATTTGGAGGGGAGGACATATTGAGGTATAGAAATCATGAATAGGACAGAGAAGGCTGAACAGGTGATCCTTGGCACCTTCCCAACAGCACTTTAATAAGTAGGTGTTCAGTGAAATGAAATGGCAACAACATCAAACAGAAAAAATACTATACATTGTCGTTATGCATATTTTACTAATAAAACTCACTACCAACAATATATTACTGAGGCAACAAGCTTGGTAAGAAACATTGATTTTTTTTTGTTGTTTTTTGTATGGCAATCACTAGGCACCCCTCGTGCTGTCCCTCATGACACTTTTGATATGTTCCAGTAAAGGTTTGATACTGGTGTCTCACGCTTACGCAAGAACTTTCACTACAGAAGACAGGTGACAAGTACACCTAATAACTATCTGGGGGCTTGAACAGAATTACTTGCATAATGGATAAAAATGTCTCAAACCAAAACTGAGTAGGAGCAAACCTCATGTAAACTGCAGCCTGATGCTAAGAGAGCATCACATTCTCAGAAGGTCATACAAGCTTTTAAAAAGTGCAGCTAAATTTGCAGAATTGCTTTGCCAGCTCTGATGCTCCTAACTCTTGAAGAGACATCAATCTAATTGCATTTCCTTTTCTGTAACACAGACTTCATGAACAATACGAGTTATCCTCTATCCATGCCTCTAGGCTTGCCAAACTATTTTATGGCCTTCTGGCAAATGCCTCAGTTCCTTGCAATCACAATACAAATTTCCGCATTTTTTTCTTCTCAAAAACACAGGAATCATATCAGGGGAAAGGGTTTGAAACGTACCATGAGCACATTCAGAATATATCACTGTTACAGAAGCATGTTTACTTTGAGAAGACCAAGTGACATTCATAAATTCAATGGACAGGACCTATTTGCAGACAAGTACTTGATAATACTTGTATGTGCAGTACATTTTTTCCAGAAGTTCACTCAGTTTATTCATATACCTGCATAATGAGCTGTTTTCTACTCAAGAATTGCTGCATCATCCCAAAGAAAAATATCCACACCAATCTTTCACAGCTAAACGAACTATTGGAAGGAAGCAGCAACACACTGTACCTAGTCCAAGAATTCTAGAAATCCTGTTTTATTAAAAGTGTTACAAGCTGCAATTATTTAAATTACATTCTACTAGTAATTTCTTTGTGTTGGGGAAAATTTCTGAATAAACCCTTTCTGTGTGTCAAGAAATAGCCCACAATTAAACTTTGTGTGAAACTCATGTCAGTCAAGAACATGCCCTGGCATACAACTGCTGAAACTATCCAGTTAAGGTGATTAACCAAGGGACAGGACAAGGAAAGCAGCACAGAAGACCTGCTAATGAATCTGTTCATTTATCAAAAGGATTTGGGTATTCAATAGCTTTTCAGAATGACAGAATTATGCCATGGAAGAAATGGTTGAAAACCCAACAGTAATGCAGGCTTGTAGACTCACATTCACTGGTAAGGTACACAGACGCTGAAAAATGCAGTGGGGTAAAAACATTTCCAGAGCACCAAGCAACAGGTGTGTATACTCTGCTTTAATACATTGAGTGAAAATCCAATATTTCCAGGTTGCACTTGACTACTCTGACCAAATCAGTGTGAATGACCATTTACTCCAATCAGGCTGAGGGAAGCATAAAAGCATACAGATGTCCTGGTTTTCTTGATTCCACAACAATATTATGAAGTCTGCAAACAACCTTTGGATGTACTCAAATCCTACAAAATCATGCACCCAGTGGAAAATCTGGTGACGGATCATTGGCCACAGTCCACTCATGCAGCTCCACCGACTGAGTCAGTCTACAGCAGCTGAGAACTCATCCTGTGAACTCTAGGGATTTGCCAAAAGATGTTAAACTAACAATGTGAGGTTACAGCTGCCTTATACGTAACTTAATTGCAACTAATTTCACTGCAGAAACTGCAGCATGAGGACTGCTGGTAAAGAACTGATTGCCATAGCAGGAAATTTCCATGATCAGCTGTGTAGGCTACCTCAAGTTTTCAGATCCATGTTCACATTGCATACACATTAACAGATGCTGTGCATACACAGCTGGGGCAAAACCAGGCCACTCCTGAGCCAACTCTGACATTTCGGGAAGTTCTCATGGGCAAAGCTATGCATGTGCACCTGACATCAGGTTTTTAAAAATGACAAGTAATGTAAGCCAATTTAGAGTAAATACAAACTGTATGTATGTGTGTTACTCTACACAAAGTAGAATGACATGCCATGCAATGAACAAAAGTATAGATAAATATTTATGGACAAATAACTGGTCACTTGTCTTTGATAGGTCAATTCGGAAATGTTGCTTTTTTTAGCCATCTGACATGTTGTTTCCAGCAGCACCAGCAATCAATTGCTTTCACTCTTTGCTGACATAAAATTTCATGCAACAGTGCATTCTAGAATGATCCATACCCATTCCTTAATACTGTGGGGAGATCATAACACTGTAACACTTTTAATAACACAATGCCAAAAAAAACCAACCAAAACAACCCAACTTTGTGAGAGAGAAAGAAATTATTTAGCAGTTATTCTTCCCCCTGCCTCAAAAGCTGAGTTTTACTCTTGGTAATAAATAGAAGGTACACTCTCTCCAGATTGTCTGTAACAATTTTGTGATGTATAATACTTAACACAATTGGTCTCTTCGTGTCTGCACATACAGTATCATTTCTGAACAAGTTAATAATGGGTTATACTGTACTTTTCTTTGCCCAATATATATATAGACACACCTTCAGCAAAATTTCTTCTCAATATTTATACTATTAATTGGACCAAATGACAAAATTAAAAAAAAAGAAGAGGAGGAGGAAGAGGAAAGGAGCTTCCTTTACACTTGTGTCTGTTGCTGGGTCTCCACAAATGGAATGTGAACATTTTCTAGGCTGAGTTCCTCCACGCTTTCAAAGTCACTCATGGCTACTTCGGAGTCATCAAAGCCGCAGCCGGCTGAGACGTCAGAGGAGGAGGCGTTGAGAGAGTTGTGCAAGGATAAGGGCACCTTACCTGCACTAGCATTTTCTGTGCTCTGGCTTGGGCCAACAGCAAAAGTACTAAATTCGTTCCCAGTCTGAGATCCTGTGGTGTCCGTCTCATTGGGGAACTGGTGGGGAGGGAGGTATTGGCTCGGGTGGAAGTGCGGCCGTCTCCTGCAGTCAGGGCTGAGAGTACTTGCCATTGAGACCGGCTGCGAGGGTGGGAGGGCTTCATACTGGTCTGGGTAATCCTCTGGGAGAGGAGGTGGTAACTGGTCCTGGCTCAAGAACTCCTCTTCATGAGGGGGAGGGTAGTCGCTGTCGATGTCGTAGCCACCAAGGTAGTAATCTGTTTCCAGTTCTCTGGTGCTGCCGTGATGAGCCGAGCCTCCATCTGTTGTCTCAAAATTGGGCACTTCCTCAATGTCGGACAAGCGAGCACTGGGCATCCAGTCAGAGGTATCCCAATGATACGCTGCAGCAGGGAAGAGAACCACAGCGCTCTGTTAGGATGAGAGCACAGAGGAGAGCAGAGTGCTCTGCATGCACCTGCCTGAGTCCTCACAGCACATTCAATCACAGCATGCCCCACAGGCCACGGACACAGGTCAGCCATGCTCTGACCAGAGGGGTAGAGGAGGAGAATAAATTGCATTATGATGCTAATGCAAACAAGCAAAGAAACAAAACACGGCCGGTCTCAGGCATTTTGCTTTTTAAGATGCTACTGGGTTGTATTAGAAACTATGAGTCCAAGAAATCAAAATGTCTGAATTACTGCTTTTCACAGTTATTTGAAAAAAATCTTTAAATGCAGTCAGCATGCCTGTGGAATCTCATCTTAGCTCCCCTTCCACCTCCAATGACTTCAAGAAAGAAAGTGTGCAAGCAAATAATCTGATTGACTGAAAACTGAATTTTGAAACAAAAAAAGTGGCTGACCATTCTCATGCATCTTTTGAACCCAACAGAATTCAAACAAAAGAGTACGCGTGAAGCAGTTCAAGAAAAAAAACCAAATAGATCAAGTCAGTGCTCTGCCCACCCTGGCCCACAGGCAGAAGGTGCCCCAGAAAAATCACCTCTGTTGTAGTTCTGTCCTTGATCCATAACAGACACTGTCAGATACAAAGTGAAAAGCAAAAACTGGTAACTCGGAGTTTGTCACCAGCATTGTATTACATGTGAAAATACAAAACTCTGCATGCAATTTTCTAAAGTAAAGCTGCCATGGTGTCATTTTAGTAGGATTTTTAATTATTCTTTATTTTAACTTACAAGATAAGCTTGCCTGTCAAACACAGACATACATAAAGAAATGTTTATGTCGTGTATTATATTCCTTTTCTATCATATCTTAATTATTTACCCTCACTGAACAGATACAGAATTACATTAGAGTTGTAATTCTTAGCACAAAAAAGGGCTATCCACTATCGACACGGCTTATAATTGCAAAGTACATTTTTCTCTCACTTGTTCACTTTGAAACAGAAAAATAAGAATCTACCATTCTCAGGGCCGGTTCAAACAAATCTGGGCCCACCTGGGCTCAGATACCATGGTGATGGGCACGGTATAAGAACCTGAATAGAATAGAATACAAAGCCATTTAATGGGGCTATCAGCTACAATGCTCCGCAACCCCACACCCACCTCCCACCTGCACTGCCATGCTAGCTGGTGGCAAGGGAGGCATTCCAGTATGGAGAGGGTGCAGGGGTGGGGGAGAGAGCAAGGAAGGAGGTTTTATGTGAGACAAGAGCGGGGAATAAGCTGCAGCATTTTCTAGATGGGTATGCTCTTGTTCAGCCGCGTGTTATTTGGCTTCATGCAAGAAGTCATCGGGCAAAGTCTCTGGATGACATTGCTGGAGGAGGTCTGGCAGGAGAAACAGACCTTTATGGCTTGTGACCTCTGTGGCTCAGACACAGGCGAGGGCAGAGGAGACCTCTCCAGCCCTTCACCTGCTAAGATCACACTTGCCCTTGCTCATCACCACATGGTGCATGGGGTGATGGTGATTTCTCCCTTAGCTCGATAGCCAGGCAGGAGTTCTCCACCTGCTGTGCCATGTCCTGGAGCGAGGAGGGCTGGGGCTACTACAGGTTTAGCAGCAGTGTCTGAACCGGCCCTAACCTCTCTTCTGCACTTCCCTCTTCTTTGTATAGTGGATTTTGCTGTATTGGGGTCAGTGTCATGGCACCGCACCCGAGATGTGTCAGGGCCCTCTGAGTTGTGTGGATCAGGATCCAGGAGAACCTCACTAATTTGCTGACTTGCACAACCCCAGGCAGGTCCCTGAGGCAGGAGCCACATCCTCCCATGACTCTGTGGCAGCAATTCTGCCCAGAGCTCCAGTGTGGCTAATTATTCACCACTTCCAACAGCTCTGCTGCACAGCAGACAATCCTAAGAATCCTAAGTTTCATGTAAGGAACTGGGAAGTGGGCAAAGCATTTTCAGTGATGGTCTCTTGAAACCACTGCCAGACTGGCTTTTTCTGGCCTGTAAAGCATGATAATGAGCCAGTGTGTTTGCTTAAGTTTTCCCTTAGAAAGGCAAGGTCATTTGCAGTGCCTGTGGTTTCTTTTCAAGGTAATTTTTAAATTTTTTGAATGAGACTCTCTTTTGAATTAACCTTGGCTATTTAATTTTTTTTTTTTTTGATAGTGAGAAGAATGGCACTCCTATACTTCAGGAAATCAATAAATGTACTATGAACAAATACTTAAGTGGCATCACTAGCTAGCAGTAAAAGTGTTTTTCAAAATTACAGTGATACTGGCTCAAGAAAAAATCAGTAGTTTCACAAAAATAATTTACTTAATCATCTTCATGTATTATGCAGACTAGATTAGCTGAAGTACGTAAATCTGTCTTAAATTTGCTAAGGACAGATGAAATTTTTCATTTGTGGATAACCTGAGTTGATATTGAGTTGACATTTGCCCAAGGGTAGGAAAAATGTTGGAAAATAAATAAAAGTAATGTTCATCTATGATAACAAGACATTTCCTCAGTGCTTTATGGAAAAAAGAAAATAGTGATATCCCCGCATTACAGGTTCACTTGTAACATGATATGCCTGAGGTTACCCAGGAGGTCAGTGGAAGAGGTGAGTGCTGGCTCCTTGGAGCACATTGCCATGCCCTGTTGAATGGGCACACCAACACCACGGGAGAGCCACGGCATCGTGGAGCTGTGCCCACACATCCGCTGTTTGGCAGGGTTTCCTGGGAGAAACCTGCCACTGGGCAGCCACCACTGTGCTCCTCTCTGTGTGATACCACTGGGGTACAGACCCCAGCTCTGCTGCAGCATGGGACACTTTACAGACTTCCCGTGTCATCTTCTGTTTCCCAGTCTCTGCAGCCAGCATCATCTCAATGATATGGCTCCATTATCAGTCTATTATTTTCTCTGAAGGCAATGAGAATAAACAAGCAGAAACATTGACTTGAACAGAACAGGATGAAGGCTTGACACCTTTTCTACCACCTCCAGTTACCCACAGATATTTTGTGGTACATTCCTCTGGCATTTTCATGTTTGCTGGTGAACATGCTGATCTGCAAAACCCAATCCCTGCCACAGGATTGCTGGTCAGTGTAGATTAGTGAGGTTCTGCTGGAATGTTTCACAATGAAAATAGGAAGCATTTTTGTATAACAAGAAAGAAAAAAAATTAAATACCTTCATTTTCTATAGTGTCAACTACATTGTTGACAAGCTGTATGACAGTCACTATGGAAGCTTGCAGGGGAGGGAAAGCAGAAAATAAGGGAGGGGAAGGACAGCTTCAGGTTAGTATTTAAAACACACATCATAGGTTACCACAATAAATTCTCTCAAAAGACAGAACTGACATTGAAAGAAAAAAAAAAGGCTGCTGACCAATGCATGATTTATGCAGTTGGTTGCAGGACATTTCATTTCAGATAATCCCATATATCTTCAGAGTGCTGATAAATTCCAAACCAGCATTTCCAGAAAGGCATATGGAATGATGTGTATCACCTCATAAATTCAAGCAGACTGGTCAGCTGATTCAATTAACCGAAGCAGTTTCTTGTCTACCTGACACTAATTTCTAATTCATTCTTGCTCAGAGGTCTCCAGAGATGGTGCTATGTGCTCCAAGGATCATTATCTTTTAGACCATCTCACCATCACAAATGGTGTTAAGCTCAATCTATTTCCTAAGAGGAATGTTTTACTTATTTACTGTCTGTGTCATGCTGTGCAATACCTCAGGGAGGTTAAGCAGCACAGCTATAATTAGGAGGACAGAGCCATGTAGCTGTGGTTCAAATTTTGACCCCTGTTTGACAGAATAGTTTCACAAATGCTTTGTGTTCTCTGCAGCTTTTCCAACAAAACCTACTTTTCCCTTGAAATCATTAATATAGACTGTGCAGCTGTTTAATCTGGAGGCCTATATTGTGTGGTCCTCTAGATGATCTACATTTTGCACCAGCCAACACTCCTGCCTCCGAGAACATGAAACAAACCCAAAAAACAAAACTGAAGGGAAAGCTCTGGATGAGTGGGCAGTGGATCCTTCCCTTTTCCTTTGTCTTTAGTTATGAGAAAACCAATTGCCTGGAGCAACGTGGGGCAAAACATACTTTTTTGTTTCACATAGCCAACAGGCTTAGAGATCATAAGAAATGTGTTAACAGTGCTGACATACGCTGAATATTTTCATGGTTTTGCTAAATTTTGAGCATGGGATCAGGCATATCATCCAACTTCCTCAGTTCTAGTGAGGGCTTAGCAAAAAGAGCCTTGATAAACCAAAGGACCCCTGTTCTGTGTCTATGATCAGCATATTTATGCCATCAACAGCAACAGTAATTATACAAAGGAGGCTCATACTGGCTAACGCAAAATAAACACGATAGAAAAATAAGGGACTCCATGCAGTTAGTGCTGCATGGCTGGGAAAAAAGATCGAGGGCAGCTGTAAACTATTAGAGGAAAAAACCTGAAAGTGAAAAACAGGTCAAAACCCAGGGCCAACACAGTTTTCTTTGTAACTAAGGGCGGCTCTGGTGGGAGCTGTGCAGAGCATATTCACAGATAAGAGGGAACACCATCCCACACAACTCAGGGCAACTCAATGCTCAAATACATCATTGCTCAGATTTTGGACTACAAAAATTACTGCTAACTACTCATAGAAAGACTAGGGAAACTGAGCAATTTAAATGCAGGAGAAATAAGGTGAGAGAAAAAAAAGCAGCTTCAAAATCTCACCCCATGTGAGTTCTCATGGTAAGACAAGCCCTTGACACAGCAAGAGAAAGGTCCAAGAGCCCTGGAGAGGGTGAGTGGAAGCTGCCTGCACCTTCAGTGGAATTCATCCCAGTGATCCACTGCTGCAAGATAGGTTTCCCAGGTACAAGCTGCTACCCAGTTTCACAAGTCAGTATCAGCATAGCCATTTGTACATCTGTGTGACACAAGCCTGTCTCCTCTGCTAGCCTGAGAACCCAGCAGCATTGCTCTTGGCTTTGGAGGAAGGGGTTTGGAGAAGGAGCCACTGTCCTGTCTCATCAAAGAGCATGATGAACTGTATTTGTTGTGTTTTCACTGACAACCTTCTAACCTTTGCAGGTATGTGAAGTAAATAGAATTAAAATGACAAGAAGAGCAAAGATTGATGGTTTCAGGAAGCATATCCATCAGCCCTAAAGTACAGGCATGTGAGTATGTATATGCTTACTTATGCCTGGCTTTGCCCTTTAGGCTCTTTCACTGCAAACCTTCCCTGCTGCTTCAAGCAAACCAGAGTGTGTGCTCTTGCATCGATCTCTGCAAATGACTCAGATGATTTAAGTTTCTTCCCTCATTCTCCCTGAAGATATGGATTTGTTTGAACCCTGAACTAGAAATGTTATCTCTAAAGGCCATATTTTAAATGCAGCCTTCACAAAAAATGAGTGGGCACAGAAGGTCCAATCCAGCTTCTGTGGGTACTGTGTCAATGATTTCAGTGGAGACAGGATCAAGAGTTTGAAATGTCTAATTAGAATTTGTGAGATATAAAAAGTAACAATGTACAATAAATGACCACTTGAATAATTATTCTAAAGGTAACTATAATGTAAATACATATTATTAAATAATACTTATCCTAAAAAAAGGCTAAAGGGGTCTTTTTGGTGCAGGGGCAGAAAAGCATTGGGAAGCCTGACAAAAATAATTGTAATGCTTCAGGCACAGCGGACCAAAAGGAACTTTTGCCATCAGTGCTTTTCCAACATTTCAGAGTTCCTAGAGAACAGCTGCATGACATGACTGAGGAACTTAAGTCTACAGACAGTTCATTAACTGGTGGCTGAGGAAACCAAGTACAATTCCTTTGTGATAGTCTTTTTCTGTGTGTCTGAATGAGGCTTCCCAGACATCCACCATCCCTCCCCAGCAGAAACATCTTGACTTTTCTCGGACCCACTGCTCAACATACACGGGCTGCAGGAACAAAGGTTTGCTCTGACTCTGTGGACCTTTCAGTGGGCTGTGTATGGCTCTGCCTGTGTCACCCAGGGAGATAATGATGCAGGACATGAGAGGCAGGCACTGAGTATGCACTGAACAAGGCTATAATGGTGCTCTATTGTTTGCTGAGCTGTGATTGTCAGGGAGAAGCCAAGATGCTGGGGACTGGCTCATCCGCTCATTGTTGAGGCTGAGAACCAGAAGAGTTTTGTTGGGACCATGAATGAGACTGGCAAATAGCACAGAAATCCCTTTTATTCGACTGGTGAAACATGAAAGTCATGCTCTTCCCAGAAGGAAAATTATATAAATTCTACAGTTTCACTCACAACCTATTAGTCAACTTAAATCTTGGCAATGTGACTCTGCTGTATCATACCTCTCATTCTCTCGGTCCTGATACAACAGCCCTAAGAATCAAGATTTTTATTACATTCCTATAATTTAGTAAGTGGAACACAAAGTCAGGGTTTGAACCCACGACTTGTTTACTTTCGGCATTGTTAAAGGGTTTCAAGATGTCACATAAGTGTTTTAATAATATTAGAGAGAGAGAGATAAATAGTTTTCCCCCCAGCATAATAAAGATGAAATCATTTCTTACCATTATCATCGCCGGAATCAGACTGGAAGGAGCTGAGGGACTGTACTTCAGAGTTGCTGCCTTTATTACTTCCTGAAAAACAGGTGACTTCTTCAGCGTCATCAACCCCTTTACCTTCATCGACAGCAAAGACAAAGCAAAATGGTACTCTCTAGGTGTGCACATTTATCTATTTATACCACAGACACATTTAAATCCTGCCTTCTATTATTTGAGTCAGAATAAAATTATTTCCTTCACACAGAGGACATGACCTACTCGTCAAGAAGGCAGCTGGTGAAGATACCTAGACTTTTGAAGTGTTTGAAGCCCAAGAAGTCTTTCAAGTGGCTGACAACACTGTAATCAAGGAAGAAACATCTGTATACAATATTGTCTTTTTAAATGACATATAGTCTCAAAAGCAATAAAAATGATGACTTAAGGAATGTGGTATAAACAGCTTATACAAGAGATTACAGTTACATTTATCTTTACTGCTCATTTCCTAATTTGAGAGCCTCGTTAAAGGCTCATTCAAGGCTCAGTAAAGTTACTGTGCATCTTGTTATTCATATCAGTGGCCCTTGGATCAGATTTTAATAGCTCCATCACTACATATAATAGAATATGCTTTAATTTACATTGCTTTTCATCAAGGACATTCAGTCTTCACAACTCTACTGTTTAGAAATGTAACTGCAACCTATGGTATAAATTCTCCTGTAATTAAACACATATAAATAAACATATTCAACTACACATTATATGGGCAATAATCAGGAACACAAAAAGCTATCCTCCTTTGTAAGCACTAGGATACCTGAGCCAATTACAAATGAAGACAACCAGGTGCTATCAACATGAAAGTACAGCTCTCTACCTGCCAGCTGTAGGCATTTCTACCCAGCACAGCACACTCCCACATGGTAAGAGCTGATTTGCTCCTGTTGTGCAGCAGAGTATGGAGCTGATGAATTGAGTGCTGCAGTAACAAAGCTGCACTGCTTCCTACTCTGTGACAGCTGAGGTCTGTCTCCCTGGTATGGCCTCATGTTGTGCTGGCAGGAATTTCTATTCCTACCAGTACCAGCAGCGCTGGTGGCACAAACACCCAGGAGAATATAGAACAGAGCATGAGTGGGGGCTGGTGTGATGATGCTTTCAATCAGCTTAACTATATTTAAAGTTTAAAAGGTCAGACACAACACAACCCTGAAATACAGCCCAAATAAATGAAAATTAATTCAATTTTTCACTACATGACCTTAGCTTGTGTGCTGCCTTGGATGAAAATGTGCGGATCAGGGCACAGCTATAGAATCATAAACTCCATAAGGCTGGAAAAGACTTCCAAGATCATCAAGCCAAATCCTTGACTGAACATCACTATGCCAATCAAACCATAGCATTAAGTGCCATGCCCAATCATTTCTTGAACACTTCCAGGAATGGTGACTTCACCACCTCCCTGGGTAGTCAGTTCCAAGGCCTGACCACTCTTCCAAAGCAGAAGTTCTTCCTGATGTCCATCCTGAACCTCCCTTGGCACAACATAATGCTGTCCTCTTGACCTGTTGCTAAATTCCTCTCTCTATTCCTCAGTTCTCATTTCTTTCAATTATAGGACTGGATTGTGCAGTGTTACGCGACAGTTTTGGTTAGGGCTGTGCTGCAATAGGGTTGAAGATCACAGAGTCATAAAACACTTTGAGCTGGAAGGGATCCTAAAGATTATTTGGTTCCAATTTCCATGCCATGGACAGGGAACCTTTCACTAGACCAGAGTGAACCTTTCACTAGACCAGTTGCTCAGAGCCCCATCCAATCTGGCCTTGAATACTTCCAGGGATGGGACATCCATCCTGTCTCTGAGCAACCTGTTTCAGTGCCTCACCACCCCCACAGTAAAGAATTTCTTCCTAATGGCTAATCTAAACCTACCCTTCTTCAGCTTAAGGCCATTCATCACTCTAGGCCCTTGTGAAATGTCCCTCCCCAGCCTTCTTGTAAGCCCCCTCCAACAGGTACTGGAAGATGCATTAGAAAAAATCCTTAATAAGAGAAAACACCTTTTAAAAAATCACATATGGTGAAGCAAACATCTCCCAGTCCATATGACATGTTCTGACTTGCAAGGATAGATGATGCAGGGCTGCAACTCTGTCCCAGAAAATTGGTATTTCCTGCCATGACAGAAGATGTGAAGTTTGCTCCATCTCCAGTTCAGGAATGAAGGGAGCACTGTGTTATCAGGTGAGGAACCATCATGGCACAAATAGGGTAAGCGTGGGGATTGAAATTCCATGATGACTCTGATACTGGAAGCAGAGGGGAATGCAATGGCCTGAAAAGGTGATCCTATAATGCTATATATCAAGCCATACGTGATTTTCTGCTTCACTTCACAGACACTGAAAGTAGGGAATATTAGTTCATTTCTCCCTGATGCAAAACAGGATTGTTTCTTGCAGATGGTTTAAATATTTTTAACTCCCTTGGAAGACAAACAGCCTGAACCTAACAGGATTTATATTTGAGAATTCTGCCCCAAATTGTTTTTTTCCAATAGAAGGATGAGTGCCTTGTATCACTGAAAAATGCTCAGAGCACTTACTCCTATATGCTTTCTGAACAAGTGAAATGAATGCTTTTAGTCATACTTCATGCATAGAAAGAGAGAGAGGTCTTGTATGCCTGGTTTATTTATAACCTTTCAAAATTAAACCAGATCACTTCTTGGAGAGATGTAACAATTCACATGTATTAGGCTGGAGCACTAAGAGTACCTGTGCCACTGTACTTGCTGCACCCTGAAGGCAGGGAAGAACAAGACCGGCACGCAGTGCTACTTACTTTCTGTCCCAGCATCCCATGTGCTCTTCCTGATGGAGTCGCAGTCGGAGCGACAGGGAGACACAGCAGGCAGGTTTGGAGCTACACTGCACACCACCACCCCCCTCCTGGCTGTCAATATTCGAGGGGACTCTGGATGAAATGTTGTCATCTCCTGGTGCTCCACACCAAGCCCATCCACTATCTTGTCCAGGTTATTCCGTGAGTCACTCTGGAAGCACGGGGTATAGGCCATTGGCCTCACCGGCACCTGTGGAGGCCCAACCTCTTGGTAGATATTTCTGCTGTCTCCACTGTTCCTGATGTTCTTGAATTGGATGCCATTGCTCTTGTTGAGCAGGGCTGCAGTAGCCGGATCCTGTACGAGCGTGATGTTGTTGCGGGAATAGTTCTTCCTGAAAACTTTCTTGCGAAAAATGATGAAAAGAACGATTAGCACAAATATGACAAACAGCACCACGGCTATTCCTATCAGCTCCTCCTTGCCAACGTAGGAATGCCCAGCTTGTATATTGGGAACCACCACGGGGCGCAGACCACAGTATTGACCCACGTAGCCAGGGGTGCAGTTACAAAGAAATGAACCAAAGATGTTGACACAGGAGCCACCATTTTCACATTCTTCTCTTTCACACTCGTTGATGTCTTCTTCACACCTTAAAAGAAGAAAAGGAGAGTCTGGAATCTCAGAACATTTAAGACGCAGTCCAGCTGGTGCATGATGTCTTATCTTGCCAAAGTGGTCCATTAGTTAACGCCTTGTGGTACTTTGCAAATGATCATATTATTATCACATTACTTAATGGCATTTAATTTTTTCTACAGCTATTCCATGGGTTTTTAAAGACAATAAAATGAAACTATCAAGAAGGAAACAAGAGTTTAAAGCATCTGATAGATATCAAGAAGATAATGCATCTAATAGGAAAAGGCACCTTGACCCTAATGAGGCTTACTGAATGTAATAGAGAATCTGCTTTTTTATATTGTTTTTGGACTATCCCATAGGTTTCAATACAAAATATTAGAGGGGGATTCAAGGAGAAGATAATTGAGAAAAAATATAGTAAAAATATCAGAGTATTTATTGAGGAGGAAGAGGAAGAGGAAGAGGAAGAGAAGAGAAGAGAAGAGAAGAGAAGAGAAGAGAAGAGAAGAGAAGAGAAGAGAAGAGAAGAGAAGAGAAGAGAAGAGAAGAGAAGAGAAGGATATACTGATTATGCAAAATTGTTTAGGTCGGGAGATAAAATAAACAAATACTAGAGGTGGGGGAAAAAAAGAACAGGAACCATAAAGAGAGAGAATTGGAAAGAACAAGAGGTAGCAAAATGCAGAGGAAAAAGTACAAACAGTAGACAAACCAGATGAGGGAAAAGCACGTTGATGGGCAAGTCAGGATTTCCTGTGTCTACACCAAGGTTATGATCAAGGCAGGGATTTAGAAAATGACTGCAATAAATTAGTCTTTTATGTCAGGGCTAAGGTGACTAAATAATTGATCCATTTTCAAAACAAAGATTACACAGCAGCTTCCACAGGTTTTACGACATTGCTCAAAAAGCTGGCAGCACTTAGATAGGTGTAGCTCAGAGAAAACTGTCTGGAGATAACATCCTGAATCAACAGCTTAGGAGAGTAAGTTCAGAAAAAATGTTTCTGAGCATCCGAGTCTCAGGGATTTCTCAGATGTCATTAGCTCAGACTTGGAATAAGTGCTAAGGCTGGGGTTGTTTTTTGTGAGGTGAATCACAGCTTTTGGGTACAAAAAGCCTGATCAAAAAGCCCACCATCACTGAGTCAAAAAGCTCCCATTGCCCACCTAGGGAGGGACACTTACGTTACTCCTGTCAAGCCGCTTTTGCAGTTGCAGATGAATGCATTGCCGATGGGATCACATGAGCCTCCATTCCGGCAAGGATTTGGGAAGCAGGCTGTGATCTCTGACTCACAATTCCTTCCTGTAAACTGGGAGAGGCAATTGCAATGGTACCCTGGGAGGTGAGGGACAGAGAGACACAAATTAGACTCCTACCACTGAATCTGTCAAAAAGCAAGAGGACCCATTTGGCTGCTTTACACAGAAAAATACATTGTACTGTGGGGGCAAGAGGATGCTTACACTCATTCTGATCTGTCCATGTCAAGAGTTTGTCTATCTGAGATACCCAGGCAATTAGAGCTTCAACCAGAAGCTGCAGCCTAGACCATTCTAATTGTCATGATTCAACTAAGAATAAATGCCATTTGTGAACACCTTTTAAGAATGGTAACAAGAAATATCCTAGATCAAGGATGTATTTCCCAACCTTTTCAAAATGTTTGCTGATAGAGGCAGTTGACTTTCCTTTTTCGGCTTCACTGATGAACAAATACATCAGCTGAGAGCTTTTCCATCTCTGCCCATTAAAAGGACAACACAATGGGGATGTGACAGTAATGAAACACCAGTTTTATAAAGTACACCATCAAGGCAGAAACTATAAACTTCAAAATATCAGCTGACCTAGGCAATACCAGCCCTAATCAGAGCTGATTATGTTCAGTGTGTGCTATCAAATTCTGATTAATCACTCACTGCAATTCATCAGACATAACAACATTCGTGTGTGTGGGGGACTCTGTTGGGGATTGAAGTCCCATTTGTATGTTTTTTGCCAACACAGGGGCAATATCAAAATTAAAAAGAAAAAAAGGTTTTAAACACATCAGTTCACCCTGCCAAGTATTAAATGACAAATATCTTTTTTCTTTTTCTCTACTTATGAGTTCATATGGCACAGTGCCATTAATAAAAGCTTTATTTAAGGTCACATAGAAATCCAGTGAGGCAGAGCATCTCTTAAAGTTGTGAACTGGTTATGGAAATCTGACTGCTTTTTTGCTTGAAAAGAGCATGGAACACGTAGGATGTGAAAGCCATGAGATGGCTAAGACAGTTCCTGGAAGCAGAAGACTCCTAAGTTAGAGCTGGTGAAACAGTAAAATTTTCCTGGACATCTGTAAAAAAACTTTGGCTGATCTTTTAAAAAGTTCCTTATATAATCCAAATGTCCTAAACAGATGTGTAGGCAAGGTTCAAGCTCCAGTTACGGGGTTCACATACCTACTGAACATAACAAATTAAGCAACTAAAACAAGGAACCTTCCTGCCATTAATACAGCTGCAGTTAGAGCTGAAATGGTTGAGTGCAACTAAATTCAGTGTCAAAATTATTATTGGCAATCAAGCTGATGTAGTGGAAATATCATCTCTCAGTGGTGAGCCTTTTAAATGTATTTTTAAAAACTTTCTATATCTATACATCTGGAAAAAAAACCAACCCAAATACTTGTTTTAAAAGTTACTCTTTGTGCAAATGTGGCAGGACTTTCCAGCACAGTTACAAGGAAAAGAATTTCATGGAAACAATATGGAAAACCCAGTGGAGGCATAAGGAAAAAGCAATTCTGCATCAAGACTCCCTCATCTTTTATGTCCTATATGGTTCAATTCACCTTGTTCAGTTACTCTAATTGAATTCTTTCATGAGGACAGGCTTTTGAGAATAAACTTGGAACCAGACTTGCTGGCATACTCAGTCAAGAGTCCAATACTATTTAACTGAAAATAAATGAAATAGATACTCAAATATCATGCTGTTTCATTGTCCTGCTACAAGAAGGGAGAGACACACACTGATCTTTCCAAGGTCACAGAGTCAAGAAGATAAATTATTCACTTCTGGGCTTCCCAAAAAGCATGTTTAGTAAGCATCAGCAAGATGGGCTTATTTCATTTTGTGTCTTAAAAATATCTCACTCAGACAATGTGAACAGCTTTCTGGACCTATAGTGATCTGGGTCTGAAGAATTACTAACCTGTGACTGTAGGTAGAATTCACAGCATGAATAAATAAGGCTGTTTCAGTGCTTCCTTTTTATGACTGAACAGTGACATCTATAGTTCAAAAATTTACACTAATGTTTTATATGTTTTTTACAGTCTCAATGAGTTTAAACAAACAGATAATGTTCAATTCAAATATAAACAACTTTATTAATAATCAGTTCTGTTGCCTTATGTAACAGCAGAATATATGTGTTATTCTATTTGTTATCTGATATTTCATAAACCTCCATAACTCTAAAGTGATGTTAAAAGCCAAGTTTCTGTTGCTTTTTAACCAAGTTCTCAGGTGCCAATCATTTGTAAGACAAAGCCTTTGAATCACTTTCTTTTCATGTCTTTTGTTTGTTTCAGCTAAGTTCTAAGTTCTGTAACATATTCAGTTTACATTTGTTCAATATAGAAAACTTGAGAAATACTGATTTGATTAAAAAAATATTTTTACCACCAACTATATAAAAGAAACATGGACTTAGGCGGCATTTTATAGTAAGAAGAGATGAAACTGAATGTGTCAGATGGGTCAGAGCTCTGTTCAGCAGTGTATGAACAGGACCAAAATACAAATCTGCTTCTGAAAGCCTACATTTTTCACAAAATTTGATTTAATGATGGTGGAACACACATCAGATTTTAGAAGACTATGGTATTCACTATAGATTCTAAGCCTAAGGATCAAAGTTAGAAGTCAAGAAGGCACTAAAACAAGACAGTATTAAATTACCGTATTTATCACTGGTGTTTCCTCTTGTTGGATTCACTGCCATACACCTGCCAAGTCCAATCCACTGGCAAAAGACACAGAACTTTTCCATGACACACATGCTCAGAGCTGCAGAGCATTCACTCAGGAGGTCTCCAACACAGCAAAGCATATGTCAAAATTCATGGAGTAGAGAAGAGAAGAGCTGATATGCTGGCTCTGTAGACAGCATACAGCACTCAGCCAGAAGACCTGCCAGACCTTTAATCCTTCTCCAAACCTCTCAGCAGAGGCTGTAATTTTGCTGGCTACTGCATATTTTAGCCACATGGCTGTGGACAAAGGCAAATTGTGAAGAAAACTCCTCTGGTTGGGAGTGCAGCTTGGGTCTAATAAAGGATTTTTATTATACTTTTAATATTCTGCTAATGTACCATTCGTTTTCCCCTCTGGTTTTGAACAAGAATAACAAGCAAACTTCTCACATTCAAGGATGAGAAAAGGCTCAGTGTCCTGTCTTCTCAGCAAGGGATTAAAAATCTCTTTTAAACAATGTAGGGCTTGATCCTGTTCACAATGAAAACACTGAAGTTTTGGAAATTTATCAGCATTTAAGACCATACAGCCCATTCTTCCACAAGGAATGAATATTTAATTCCTAGAAATCTAGGAGTGATCTGCATTCTCCAAGGCAGAAAATTTTGTTATGTCACCACAGTATTTCTTCAGAGGGACCCAGTGGAAAAAGACAGGAAACTCTGGAAAACACCTCTGAAAAGTTTCTAGGGTGGGACCACAACATTCGCAGCATGTGCTATAGCAGCATGCAACAACAGCCGAACAACAAGCTATGAACAACAATACAGCCTTTTTAGGCTGTATCTGCATGAACAAGTCCTGCAGAGCAGCAGCAGTGGGTCTGTGGAGCCAAAAAGCTGGTGCTGAGGACCCTCACTGTGTGCAGCTCAGGGCTTTGGGACTAGCTGTCTTCCAGTTCAGCCTGGTCCTGCCTCCGAGACCTTGCCTCTGCACAGTGGGAAGTGAAGCCCAGGGAGAGATGATGATCAGAAGATTCATATCAAATATCATTTATGACCTGAAACATTATGTAGACATAGGTCTACACATTGTCTTGGGCTTACAGGTTGTTTTATAAGGCTTATCTCATGCTCCTTCATAAATCTGAGTCCCCTCTCCATAGCTAAATCTCACCTTCTCGCTGTGACTCAAACAGCTGCTCTTACTGCTCTCTTGGCATGTCCCTATCCAGTGGAAAAGGTGTTTTTCATCCCAGACCTTAGTGAAGAGCAACACGCAGTGAGACGGGACACTACACAGGCTCCCTGCCTGTACCTGTGTTTGCTTGGCACTTGAGAAGCAGAGGCAGTGGCACAAGGCAGGCACGGTGCCATCAGCAGATGGGGTGTCGCTATGTAGCGAACATCTCTGCTGGTAGCATTCCCAGCCTGAGCATCTGAATGTCTGTCTATCCCAAGGTTTACTTGGCTTTATTAAAGACGATGCTCCGAACTGCTGCCAAATTTTTTTTTTTGAACATGTGTATGCTCCTGTTTCTATCTATTCCATGCAAGACAGGCTGGCTTTTATCTGTTAACGTGCTTTGGCTTTTCCATTTGTCTCTCTGGGTAGTTTCTCTCCCTGCTGTGCAGCTAGACCTGACAAACTCGATATCCAGAAATTGCCCTGCCCTTGGCATTGACCACACAGTGTTACACACCAAGTTAACTGATGAGAACTGAAGGTGAAGAGGACCTCTCCCAGCATTTGTATTTCAGTAGGTCTATAGTCAAACCAGGCCAGCTTCAAGTAGTGTCTGCTCTTCAGCCATACACAGTCCTGCTACTCCAGATTTGACTTACCTGTCTTCAAACAGATCATTGGCTCTGCCACTGTTGGTATGAAAATGAACCTCAGTCTTTGCTGAACCAGTGCTTTCTATGAGAGGATTGGCATGCTTTTAAAGTGGGAATTCAAAAACAGACAACTATAACCAGCTATTAAAAATATTAAACAACCCCAAAATTTCTAAAAAACTCTAAAAAAAATAATTGATGTAATTTGGTATACTCACATCACCGTATGCTGGGTTGTGTGTGAAAAAGCAAGATCAAGAATATTAGTAAGACCAGGTCAGTTCTGTGGTTTTATTACACTAATTTTTTCCCTTGTTTCTTTTTTATGAACTACCTGATCCTCAAAACCAGCCATGAGTAATGTTGCCAACAGCATTTAAAGCATGTATTAAACCCACCACCCCAGTGCCATGTTACATTTTCTCCTCCCTTTGGATTTTAGCCCTGTTCATGAAAAAAAAGAGAAAAGACTAGAAGAAAAGTGAAGAGTGGGGAAAGCAAAATGACTTTATGTCCCCAAACTCTGCCCACAGTCCTTGACTCAGTAAATATTTCCGCTCAAATGCTTCATGTTCAAATAAAATCACCTACTCATATAAGCCATTTACTTTAATCAGAGCCAGATGTATATAGGACTGATCAAATTAAAAGGAAGTAACGATACTTATAATTGCAGGCTTTACAAGCATGAGGTTTCTCTGTGTGGTTGAAAACCTTGGTGCAGTCTTTGCATGCGATTACAGTAAAGCTTTCTATTCCTGAGATTGCTCATACTGTTACTCATGCAGATAAACATACATTTACTATTGGCAGCCCTGCAAGTGCCACACTATTATTGAGGCTGTGTGACATTTCCCATTTTAAGACCTCACATTCAGCAGCTTGTATCTTAACCACACTTTAAACACTTGGTTGAATTTTCTTGGGAAATTTCAGTTCAAAGAGCCAAGCTGTTTCTGAAAGTCATGCTGTTTGTCAGGTTTAAAAATGCTAACTTTCTTTAAAAATAGATATACTGACCCATACTTAGGGATAGGGACTGGAAGAATGTGGCCTACACTTCAGGGCTGTGGTTTCCACTGTCTCCCAAGAAAATTGTCCTAAGACTTGAGTATGTCTCTTTCTGCTATGAGTCTCTTGAGCTGTCAGATCCAGTGAGTGCTCATCCTCCTCTGCCAACCCCTATTTAAGCATGCACTGGATCTCCCCATGGGGTCTGTGCACGCACAGTCCCCCCTCCTGTACCACTGACATCACTTGGCCAACACTGTTGCCTGAGAGCAAGCAGAGATTCATGTCATGGTTGCTTTCTGCTGGCTCAGAAATCAGAATTTGAAAGCAGAGAGGCTTTTCTGTACTCTTGAGTTCCCGTCTGAGCTGTCTGTGCTCTCACACAGGCTGAGATCCCCATTCTGCTCTGTTCCATACGCAGAGAGGTCAGGCAGAAAGAGCCACTGTGGCTCAGCTTAGCCCTGTGCCAGCCCTGCTTTGGGCAACACCTCTGTGGTCACTCCTGAGCTCTGTGCAGCCCAGGCACAGCCCTGCCCTGCGCCAGGCGCTGTGAAGCTGCTGGGAAAGCATCCATCCAAAGCCTAACAGCAGCAGCATGGACACACTCCTAGTGCATACAGAGCACTTCCCCCAACAGGGCCGTGGTATGACCCTATTCCCATAAGCACAGGATGAAGTGAGAGGCAATTGAGGCAGCTTTTTGTTAATAGTGAACAGGGCAGTAGGCATTTGTATTGAAAGGAAGATCTCGGGAACAGAGATGGAACAGAGAATCTTAGATTTTCTATAACAGGAACACTGTTATAGAGGTTTGTGTCGTAGATGTTCAATTTATGCAAATTATATGTAAATTAGTCATGGCCTCTTTGACTTCTGGTATGTAGCCAGCAACTCTTTCATGTTATAATGTTGGGTAACCTTTGCTTGACTATTTTCTTCTTAAGTTAGCTATAAATCTCAGCTTTCTTTTTCTCTCTCCTAATTTTCTTGTAAAGCACAGTAGGTTGTCCATAACTACAAGGATGCTAACAGTATATGAAATCTGCTTTGTAAAATTTGAACTAGAGGGTTTATTCATTAAAAAAAAATCTTATGCTGAATACTCTCTGTTTAGGAAAAGGAACATTACTTTCCAAAAACTGAAAGAGGAGGATAATGTCATAGAAAATATTAGTCAAGAGATCCTGATGGTACTGAATGCCTGATGGTACTGTGATTGGGAAAAGGACCTTTGCATGGTATATTTTTCTTCCCCTCACCAAAAAAGAAAAAAGCTGCTATTTTCTTTCTTAAGAAAATTCTTAAAAAGTTAAGTTTTTTTTTCTATTTTAAATGGAAGTCTGCAGCTAACATCTATGTCAGCAAGTGCAATGGTTGATGGTTCTTAAAAGCACATTGCAATTTGTGGCTCTGCAACTAGGACTTGCAATGCTGTTGGACTCTTGTGCTCTTCAATTTAATTATGTGGCCTTTCAGCATACGGAGGACACTAACAACAGAATTGCTTTTCCTAGTGGAAGCAAAAATGCCCAAAAATGCCTTCTCCTTAAGGGCTGGGCTGTAGAACCACCGACATACAGTCAGGGCCCATTGCACTGGAATTATGGCTTTATAACAATCCTTTATTTACACACACTGCTGAGACAGTAAAAACAGCAAACAGATTTTTTGACGGCAGGCAGCCAAAACATCCCTGCAGGGCACATGCCCCTCGCCGAGGCAGGAACACAGGCAAGTTAAATCAGTTCTGTGACTGCTTTCCAGCAGCGAATTTTGTTGATGTGAAAATGGTATTTGCCATTCCAGTAATAAGATGGGTCCAAACTTCAGGCCTGCTTGTTTCTCCCTTACCCTGGGTCTCCCCTCAGCTTGAATTGGCATGCACATGGTGCTGGGAAAAAAAGAATTACTATAAGGAGTTCTGTTAGAAAGGTTTCAATTTACTCATCATGAGATTGCTGAGCAATACTGTAAATAGACTCAAATAAAATCAATAGAAGGAACTGTTCTCATGCTTCCTAGGATGTGAGGCGAATGGTTAATCTCATTTATTAAGTAGGTACTCTGAATCAAAGCCATTGTATATAAGTTCCCATACGTACTACAGCTGTATTTCCTAGGAATTTCAATAATCATGCTTAGCAATTCTTTCAATGGCTGCAGCAACCTTCTCTCTCTGAATTATTATCTTTTGCCTTTGTTGTGCAGCCCTCCTTTTCTCTCCTTCCCTTGGTAGATAAAGACCTTTAAGGACAAACACACCCGCAGCAATATTTCTGGTCATGCCCCACAACACATCCTGGATTGCCAGGGCTGTGCTTCATTCCTTCTAACTGTCTTCACATTGCTTTCCATCAACAGCAAAGCTGATAGCATCCCTGATGCATCATTTGTGATGGCATGGGAGAAGAGGTGGCTGAATCAAAGCCAAACATCCAGAGGGGTTGCTAGCTGAGACAGCCCAGCATGGACAAATCCACATTTTCAGGGCTTACTTTATAGGAGTGGGGCAATCCAACTAAGAAACTTATCACAGTTTAGCTCAGATCTCACCACATGTTGATCTTGAACTGATCTGAAGTTTAGGCCTGAAAACTCCGTGTGGTGGAGGGAACTCAGAAAGGTAATATGAGAGTCAGGCTTAAACTAATGAAAAACAGAAATAATAACTAGGGTGCAAGGGAATTGTATGGACACATTAAAGCAGAAAGCCCTGGGACAGTGGTTAAATGTGGCACAAAATAAGAGTTTAGGCGGGAACTTCCCTAGAGAAAGAACCATGATCAAAACTCACTGACAGTAAGTGCATGGAAAGCTCTGACCTTGCAGAAAACCTCTCTGTTGAGCAACCTCCTTTTCAGAGTAAGTTTTATTCTGCCAGAAAAGGTGTACAATGCTGCAGGACTTTACAGCGTGGGGAATTGGAAGGGAAACTCCTACACTGCAGAAAGAGAACTGCCTGAGAGGCAATGCTCTACATGTGTGCAGTTCGCTTTTCTCCTGCTAACATGCTGACTGTTCTGGTAACTTGTGCACTGCAGAAAGTCACTGGTATCAAATGACAAACCACCACATAACCACTGGATAGGAAACTCCAACACAAGCACTATAAAATTTGGATAATATTACTTAGACCTTAGAGCACTTTGAGAAAGCTGTAAAATACAGTTCAGGGGGGTTTATAATGGGCCCAACTTGCTATTTTCCATGCAGACATGTAATGAAATTACTCACTTCCAAAAGGACGAAGGTGTTTGTGGACAGCTCAGTAATTATTTGTGACAGCTTCGGAAACAGAGTAAGGCAACACTGCTGTTACATCTGTGATGGACATTTCAAATCACCATCTTTGTGTACAGCCCTCAGTGCTGTAAGGATGCTGTAAATGGATTCTGCAAAATCCAGCTGAACATTACAGTAATTGTAATTCTATTGGTTTCTATAGAAATAGGATTATACTAACAGCCAATAAATCAATTTCCTCCTGGAACACTAATGCAATAAGAAGGGGCACCATTTCACTGTTATTTATAGAGCAAACAGCTTTTACCCAATTTGCAATACCTATCAGAGTTTTATAGAGTTCATGAGATTTTTCAAGCATGTTGCTGCATAAAACCATCTCTGGCAATAAATTACAGAGGAAAACGGGGAGGGGGAAGCCCATAAAGTAATGAAAACATTTACCACCAGATGGCACGGCAGTACAGGTGCCGCCGTTCTGGCAGGGATGTCTCTCACAGGCGTCGGGATAAAGAACGCAGCCCAGCTTCAACTCCGTCAGGCCAACCACTTCTGCGAAGCTGCTGCGCTTGTTCTGCAGGGGCAGCTCGTTGTTGTTCAGGACTACTGAGTCCAGGCAGCCCTGGAAGCCGCTCAGGACCTGCGTTGTCCTCTTGTCAGTCAGGCTGCGGACGTTATCCACTTGGACCTGGGCGCCGAAGTAGACAGAGCTGTCTGTGCTGAGCGTCTGGAAGTAGAGGGGGGCTTTGCGGCGCTCCACGTAGCTGTCGTCCAGGGACAAGCTGGTGAAATTGCGGTTCAGCTCCAGGAAGACCGAATGCCAGCTTCCATCGTTAACGGCCCTTCCAGAAATTCCCAGGATTCCTGGGCCACTTCCGCAATCCAACTGAAACCAGAGTTTGCCATCGACGATCTGCAGGAGGAAAACAGAAATCAAACTGCTTCAGGCGCTCAGAGAGAATCTGGAAGCACAGAGAACTTCTAGACAGTCTCTGCACACTGTTAAAGCTGCTTTCCTACATGACACTAAAACAGCAAAAAGCTGTGTCTTTATTACGAGGAAAAAAATAAAATGGTGGAAAATATCAGCTTACTTTGTATTTGCCCGATGCCAATTACTGCAGGAAAACTAAAAATACAGAAAATCATATGGGTGCAGAACACAGATGAAAACCGGGATAATTATATGTTTTACTGAACAGGATATGGACTTGAGGACCCTTGTTCTGCTCTTGGCTCTGCTGTCGAACAGCTGTGTCTCTCTCAGCAAGTCTGAGAGCTGTGATTCTCCTCCAAGTGGTTGATGTTATCAAAAGGACAGTAAGGGCACAGGATCACCTCTTAGTGTTTGACAGGCTTGCAGCAAATCCAATGGCCCCACTTTCAGCTGCTGATGTTTGGTACTCTGCTCATGCAGACATCCTGTGCTTCTGTAACTTTAAGGAGCATCTCAATGAGGTGCAGATTTTCCCTTAAACATCATAAGTTTACTGTCACTAATTACAACTACCATTAATTGCAACTAGTTGACCAAAAGTCAGTTATTTCCCAAAGATGCAACACAACTTGCCCTGTGTATACCTCACAGATGACGTAAGATGGGTCTTACTTTTCTTTCTTTCCTAATATTTATGTTGGACTCATGGATTTAGAGAGTTTGTAGGGGGTTTCTCACTCTCCCTCCTCTCCCTCATCCATCCCAAGTCTTTGTAAAGAGAAAAGTCTGTGCTATCCTGCTGGGGCAGGCAAAGGGCAGAGTGAGGGAATGGGTATGAAGTGCTGCTTTCCTGATTAGCAGTTTACCCCAAGATTTTAGGTTTCTCTAACAGATGGCATATAAGTTTAAAATGGCTGACAAGGCTTGAAATAATTTCTTATGACACATTAATTGGATTCGAGGTCTCTGAAAGCCCTTCCAAGTATTTTACCTTTATGTCATGCTCTAGGAAGTATTTATTTCTGCAAACCCAATTTCAAGACAGTTCTGTCCCATTATTTATCCCCCTGAAAAGTTCAGGTGCTGTGTCATTTTTCATCCTTCCAGGCAGCTCAATCTGTCCTCTCACTGGTGCATCTGTTACAGAGACTGACTGCTCCTCCCAGTGAGAGCAGAGTTTCCACAGCTGTCAATGCAAGAACCCCACAGACCTTTGGTGGCCTGATGAACTGGAATGGAAAATGCAGATGTGAGGATGCTGCAGTGTGTTCATCTGCCTTTGGCCATTTTTGGCCATTTCTAGCATGCACAGTCATGTTAGATGAAGACATCCCTTGGCATGTGACTGTGTGCTCAGACTCTTCTCAGACAGGTTCCCTGATGTGGCTTGAAGGTAAACAGGAAAGTGTTAATGTACAGGAGCAGACCGTATTGTCTGCCATTATCAGCATTTTATGTCCTTGGAGGTTGACAAAACTACCAGGAGAAAAGCTAAAGTCAAAATCTTGAGATCTGTAGGTCTGTGGATTTCTCTGTATTTTCTTCTCCTTTGGGAATCCTTGGTTTCTTGACTGGCTGACTCTGAACTGGACCTCAAGCCAAAACACACTGGGCAATCAGGGGACAATGCACAGCAGTCCTCTGCTCGGTGATTGCTTGGCAGCATGGACAGAGGTGCTAAGCATGGGGCAAGCTCCCTAGAGATGCCAGCTGCCCACTTACTCTGCATGATATGAGGGGGTGCAGAGGAATGAATACACGCATAGAAGGAGCCAAGGGAAGGAGCTAGAATTAGCCCCTGCTATGAACAACTGGCTGTTTTGCAGTCCCTGGTCTGTAGGATGTAATGAAACTGAGAAGAAATCGGATCTATGACTGTAATAAATGCTTAAGGGATGGATGTTGCTTGATACTCCTACAGATCAATCAAATAAGGCTAATGGATGTATAGAATAATGAGTCTGGATCATTTTTCATTAAAAAACATTTTCTTAAAAGACTCAAAACTCAGCTGTAAACAGTTTCTGTAGATTGAAATTGGGTCTGTTAAAGCATATTCTCAGGAGGAATCTTGGTAAACAAGATGCCCTGATAAACAGAGAATTTTTTTTCTCCAGAGATGGAGCAGTAGTTTCTTTCCTCCCTGTGCAACAAAACAGTCCATAAACATTGAAGGTGATGCTCAGAAAGTATGGTCTGTCTCACCAGGAGTACAAATCAAACAGAAAAATGCATGCCAACATATTACACTTTGAAAAACAGCCATCACTGGATAAGCAGATAACTTGCTGCTTACTTAAAAGGCTTTTTCCTATGGAAACTCTTCTACTGATTGTGTATAATATACATATACCTCCCCTATGACTACTTATGCCCTGAAGGACTTACTGCTTGCATGTCTATTACTCTTACTCACAGAACATGTTTTTCCAATTATCTTTATAAATACAACACCACATTTGAGCACCTGGGATAAATATTACACCATTTGTACACAGGAAACTATGATCTAAAAGATTAGCCATTAAAATATGTTTTATACATCTTTCTCATCCACTTTTATTTCTCTTTACCAGCAGATGATCTGACATGCACAGTAAATATATATTGTCTGAAGGGTTTAAGTTTCCTTCCCGTTATTGAAGAAACACGAGTAACCTCTAACTAGAGTGAAAGATGGAAAGGATGGTCTGATGCTTACAGTACTAGCCTAAGACATGACAGATCTGCATGGGAATCCACACTCTGCAACATTCTTCCTCTGAGATCTCAAGCAAGCCATTAGTTTCAGGTCTCCATCAGTAAAAGAGGGGTAACGTCATTTCCCTACCTCACACCACTGCTTTACAGATACATACATTAAAGACTGCATGACATGCCCAGAGACCCCTAGCAATGGGACCATAAAAGCACTTTCATTAATCAGATGGTCATGGGCCTTGCTGTAGAGGGGCTGGGAGGAAGTATTTGTCCCCTGATGGATCTTGAGGAGGAGTAGGGAGAACAGGAAGAACCAGCAAGGAGCAGATGCTGCAAAGGGCTCCACTCTTGAGTACTTAGCAGCTGGACTGGCCAGGCAAAGAGAAGAAGGTTTCTCCACCTAACAGGTAAAATTGCTGTCCCCATTCCAAAGCATAGAGAATTCAACCATCACTCAGCAATTAATCCCTGGTGTTCCTGTGATTCCTTGTAACCACTGAGATGTCAGGGTGACTGCTCAGTCCTCAAAAGGGGTTCTTTGATTATAGCCTGGACCTCAGTACCAAGAAAAGCTGAACTTCAAGCTGAGGGACATTCAAGCAAAAAATATGGGCATCCAATGAATACCCAGGCTCTGGTACCAAGAAAAGCTGAACTTCAAGCTAACTGAGGGACATTCAAGCAAAAAATATGGGCATCCAATGAATACCCAGGCTCTTGTCCAGGTTCAGCAGTTACCCAGGCAATAACCTCAGTGGCATGGTTGGTCTGGTTGAGAGCTGGTAGCGTCAGACTGTCAGTCCAGCCCTGAATGTGTGGTGTTGCTTTTTTCATCCATCTATGTAGTGCAACACTGCAGAAAGCCTGAGTTACTCCATCTCACAGCAGAGACATGCAAACTTTGCAACCTCACCAGTGCAGCCCATGGCACCAGCAGAGACCCTCTGCACTATGAAAGCAGAGAGATACTGCTTCATCCTAGTTGGGCAGAAAATTCCCACAAAGCTTCCACTTCCCAGAGCTTTCTAGGCTCAGGGTTTAGTTACAGTCTCAGTTGTAAGAACTATGACAGGGAAGTTAATGTACACTTAAGCACATATGCTACAAGATTCCTCACCTGCAGCGAAGTTAAAAGAACAGTGAAGACTCCAAAAGCCAATGCAATCTGTTAAATTTCAATAATTTCATTCAGTGGGCAGAATGGAGCCAAACACATACTGTAAATTATATTAGAATATTAGTCTGGCTAAGATGTTTGGCTAGCATCCATATTTGTGTATCAACATAGGTAATAAAATGATCAAATGGTTCTTCTGAGACCACCTCCAGCTCACACAGTCCATCTGCAGTCAAACACCATGGATACAGCATGCTGCCTCCTAATCTGTCTGGGGAAATATTTCGTTAGCCGAATTGCATTTCAGGTTCGTTTGTGTAAAACGGTGTATTTAATTAAAACATTACTCGTTTCAACTCCAGCCACAACTGGGATCATATCCAAACTTCAGTCCTATCCAGCATAAGCCATGCAGCACTAATGCATTAAAATGTGTAATACACACTTAACTAAGCCACGCAAAGTTTCACATTAACTGCCTGGACAGAAGGACATATGCTTGCCTTTTACCGTTTAGCTGCTATATTTATGGCATCATGGGAAAGTCTTTCTTTACCTATTTTTAATCCTTAAAATTTCACAAAACAAGATGAATCTCCATGATATTCCTTCGGGGAAAAAAAAAGAAGGAATTCTCTTCTGCAATGGCCTTGTAACGCTTTAGATGGTTAAATCTTACTTTTCTGAGTTAGCTGCTACATAGGTAAAAAGGAAATGGTGGTACTGGTTTTGGGACATGCAATCTTTCCAAAGGAAAAAAAAAGCCAACATTGACTTGCATCTGATTTTGCTCCAACTGTCTTAAAAGCAAGAGCATGCAACAAAAACCCCAAAAAACCAACAAAACAAAACAAAACAACAAAAAAAAGCAAAAGCCAACCTCTCAAAATCGATGGATGAGTTGCTTTACTTGAAAGAGTTGAATAAATAACCTTATTTATTCAACTTATTTTATTATATCAATAGAGTGTAGTTGGTAGGCTTTCAGCAAAGTAGTAGACAAGAAGTTTGCTCTATGGAATTGATTATTCATCCAGGCAGGACACTGTCTTAAAATTATGAAATATTTCCATCCCTGGAGTTATCACAAATGTATGAGCTTCCAAAATTAAGCTGGCCATTTAGACACCAAAAAGCATATTGCAGCATTAATTTTTAAACAGACTGCAATGGCAGAGACTTGCTTCAAAACAATCAATGCCACTCTGTGCCCCAACAGCACAGGTGTTTCTGCTTGTCTTCCCATGGGCTCATACCTTGTGGGCCTAAATTTCTTCCACCTCTGTCTTTATCTGAAGCTCAGTGATAGTGCTGGACGCTCTGGTGCTAATCCAGCAGACACTTAAGTAGATGCTTAAAATTAAGGTATGTGAATAGTTCCAATTGGTTTCAAATACAGGAAGTTAAACAAGTGATTAAGTGCTTTGCTGGAGTGATGCCAGAGTGCTCAAAAGAACACAGGATTTCAACCTTTATCCTCTATTTGGAAAGCTTCCCCTCATGTTTAATTTAATTGAAAGCAATGCTCAAATGATAACAACTTCACATTTATAGACCTCTAATTAATCTGCTTAATGGCCTCATTTCTGAGTGCCTCCCTACCTCCCAACATACGTACCTGGTTAAAGGAAGCAGTACCTCTGGTTTACAAATGAAAAAAATATGTGTTTAGAAAGTCTAAGCATAACTTCCTTGAAAACACCTGAGTCAGGGATCCCCAAAGTGCAGTCCATGAGCCAGCTGCCCTCCCTGAAGAGATCTGACAGGGCTGAATCCCTTGAGCATGATGCCATTTGTCTGCCACAGAGAACATTTTTTGAGAATTTAGCCTGATATTCCTTGGTTAAAAGACCTTCACAAACTAAACTCTGACAATTCCTGATTTTTTAAGTGACGCCATTTCTTTAAAGAAACTATGGTGAATGTAATGACTTTGTTTCCTTTAAACCCCATGCATGCAGAAGCCCAGTGCCAGGTCTGGGAAAAGGATTCACTGCAACAGCGAATCCTGCCCTTCCGAAAAGGTAATTCCCTATGTCCCTCCCTGATCAATGCACAGGACAAAGCAGAGGCTTTGCATCCAAACATGACCATAGACCTCACTCATCAGATATGTGATGCAGCTGCTGCATATGAAGCTCTCCATTTTCTCTTTCTTTATTTCTTAGACTTAGGGGAGCAAACCAGCTTGACATGGAGGTTGCTGACTGAGATTGGAGCACAATAACCACAGCTCTTGTCGCTGCTCCTTGAAGTATTATTTTTAACTCAGCATCCTTCAAAGCAAAATAATTAGGAATTAGGTGATTATGTGAAGTGCAGACTGAAAACATGATTCCTACCTCACAACTAAATACTCAATTCAGGTGATTGTAAAGGGCAGTTCTCTTACTGGTTTGGATTTTTTGTTTTGTTTGGTTTTGTGGTTTTCTTTTTTTTTTTTCCCTGGTGTGGGGGTTTTTTGTGGCTTTTTTTTTTTGCTTTTTTTTTTTTTTGCAGTAGTAGTAGCCTCAACTTTTCTATTTTGGTGGCAAAATATCCCTGCTTCAGCTGGATATTTTCACTCCGTTGTCTATGACCTGGATATGCTGTGCTCCTTAATGATGAGAGCTTTATATACAAAACTCTAACAAAATGAATTTTCCTATCACCAATCTAACTCCAATTCAGGCCATCTCTGTATCATATCCTATTGTTTTCAAGTGGCACTTTCCACCAGGGCCACTTGCTTTTCCCCAGGTATTTTGTGACATTATCAAATTGTGAACATTACCTACTGACAGATGCTAAGAGCAAGCATGATGAGGACTTCAAAGAAAGTCTTCCAACCTGCAGTTTTGCTTTTTTTTTTAAACAAAAACACATGCTTGAAAATTCCAAGTGCATTTATATGTGTCTCAAAATAGAGGCTGTCTTGTGCAAATTTGAACAATGCTGACAGTTCCTGGTGAATGACAGACAGTACTCTTGCTCATAAAATACTTCAGACTAACAGCTATAAAATTATTTGTTGCCCATTAATAACTCATCTAGCCACTTTAACATTATGTAGCATTCAGCCAAAAGTACCCTAAAGATTGCACATGCAGACACAAAAGGCTCTGTGCCATTTCTTCCACTGCTGAATTATAGAATGTGGCTGAATTACAAATGTCAATATTTTCATTTGTTACCTTAGAGGCTATAGCAGAAATACTATATGTGCAGGCTCCTGGATGAACCTAGTACTCCCTTTCCATCCAGCAGTTATTTGCCATTCCACAGAAACAAACAAAAAAAAGCATGGAAAACTTATCAATTAAATATTGATTTGGTATCGATCTCCATTGACCCTATGACTCTGTCAACAAAGAATCTTAATCCACAGAGTGCAGATATCTTCATATTCAGTAGGAGACACGTTCTAAGCAGTTGGTTCCTGTAATTAGCTCACTAACAGTGAGGGCATATCCTCTAACCACAGACAGGACAGAAGGGAAGAACAGCAATTTCAGCAGGCTTAGTTTTGACTACATAGTCACATAAATGGCCAAATCTTACATCTCGTGCAGACTGGCTCCTGCACACAGACACACATAATGTGCTTATAATGAACAGCACCCAGTGGGGAATTTTCCAAGTAAAGTACCACTAACAAGCTGCTTTTCTGATCGTTGTTGCTGCTGCTGTTGTTGAAATTGTTTTTCCCCGTTAGAACAGACTTCATCTTCTCAATCCACAGTAAAATGAGAACAGCATTCCCCAAATCAAGAGCCAAGAGAAAATACAGAATCGAGAAAAACAACTGCAGAAAAGATAAGTTATTTTAATTACCTTCAGAATTATACAGGGATTCGCTCTGGTGTACATTATAATCCCATTGCTTTGCAGGGTTCGCAGTCGGAGAGCCAACTTGAATTCCTCTTTCTTGCTATTTTCAGAAACACGGTATTTAATGTAGCTATTCCCAGCAAAGCTAAGGGAAGTGTGGCCTGAAACAACCATTTTGAAAAGACACATGTGCTTTTAGTGATACATAAAACAATTCCTCAACTGTTAAGTAATTAAAGAATTTATAAAGTTAATGAGAATTACTAGGAAGAAATAAATAAAACCCTTTTTTGATGAGAGAAAACAAAGTTGGCATCTACTACAAAACATTTTTGCATTTCCTTTTTTTAAGCTATTTTTCAGGGGATAGAGGAAAGTTCTATTTTTCCATACTTAAAAATAATAAAAAGAAAGAGGGTGCTCCACGTATTCACCATTTTCCAGCTTATACACTCCTGGAGGCACCACTCTTGCCTCACTGAAAATAGAGGGAATAAAAAGACCACACCTGTACATCAGGCAGTTGAGTTACAGGTGTAAAGTTACTTGTGGGCAGATGTTAGCAAACCCTTGCAATGAGTCCCCTGCAACCACTGCCCAGGACCACAGTTCAGTATCTGCCGTGCTTTTATCAGGCAAATAGTACAAATCCTCTGTCCTGCAGCCTGGGATTCACTGAAGTCAACAGAAAGCCCTGCTTCACTGCCTGTCCACCTGGCTCTTCATATCCCAGGGAAAAACACAGATGCAGAGAACTAGCAGATGTCCTCAAACTTTCTTTTTGGGATAGTGTAGTGTTTTCATTAATAAAGGCTGGAATTTTGGTAATCTAAATAGTAAGCAGAAGAGTTAATTATAGAGCTTTGCCCATGGGCAGGAAAACATCTGGCATAACATTCTCTAGGAAAAATCCTGTTTTCTCAGCAGCCTGTTTTACTGAGCTGGTATTTGAGCAAGCCAGTGGGAATTTCCAAACAGAAACTGGATCACAGTCTACATACAGCCCCTTAGCTATAAAGACAAGTATTTATAGGGCTTATAAACACACCCCCCAAGAGCTCGTGCTGAGATGGGTACAGCAGTGCATTTTCTGTTAACTTCACTGCCACCTCTGCCTACAAAATGAGAATGGCAGCACTTTATTGTCCAAGTATATCCCCCTTTACGGCTGTGACATGCACCTGAACACTCGCCAAGCTTTCCTGGTGGGCACTGGCAGATGAACGGTCTCCGGTTGGCTTCGTACCCCACACACTGCATGTCCCCTGGACACGGCTTCTCTAGACAGGGATCGTTGGACCCTGGGCAGAGTGCTCCTGCAATAAGGTAAAATACTGTCAGGGATCCACAGTGCAAAGCATGATCTGCTGCAACACAGGAGTAAAGAAAGACAATTATTGATCGCACGCTTCAGTACTAGCAAAAAATGGCTTAATAATAATAACAACAACAAAAAAGCCCCAACAAACCTTCATAGAAAGGAACAGCTTTTGGGCAAGTGCACAGCAGAACGGCAATAGTTCTTTTCCAAAGACCATCCCAAACCCCATGGGAACAATTATAAAAACAAACTATTATGAGCAGTAACTGATTTATAAATGTGTGTTGGTAACTCTCAGGCTATTCATTTTTCCACAAAGCTTCCTGCACAGGGGTTTTAGAGATACAAGTGAAAAAAAATTGCTTGAAGCTATGCACTACTCTTCCCACAGCACACCCATGAGAAGCAAATCTAAGGAGGTAGAAATGGTCACAGCACCAAGCCTGTCAGAGTTTAAGAAACACTTGGACAATGCTCTTAGGCACATGACGTCACTCTTGGTGGTCCTGTGCAGGGCCAGCAGCTGGACTTTGATGATCTTTGTGGATCATCACAAAAGATCCACAGCTTCCAGCTGTGGATGTTCTGTGATTCTAAGCCATGCTAGGGCTACAGGGACACCTGGATTTTTCATTCTCATACTACCCAGGACATGCTGCCAGCTTGATCATACAGCATAGGAAAACTTGTCCTCTCCCTATGCTCTTCCTGACATTTCTGAGATCTCACATCCCATCCAGCTTGCCCAGGCTACCAAAACCTGCCCTCCTTTTTTCTAATCTGAAGGGACAGAACTACACTGACTTTTAAATTTGCTTCAAATACTTGAGCGACACAATTATATGTAGGTTTTTCAAAACCCCTTCAATTCTTTACATTCATCATGCTGAGCATGTCAAGGACTTACTATTTAAAGCCTGTCAATGTCAAAAGAATTTTCTGCATTTCACGGGGTTTGGCTAAAACTTCAATGTAACTTATAAAAGTGTCTAAATAAATCTGTTTTGATTGCCCTAATCTTAAAGGATTTGCACACACTGTCTACAATAATACAAAACATGATACAACTATTGCTGCTTAATATATGAATTTTCAGAAATAAGTGATTTTCACAACAGCTAGTCTTATTGGGTTGCAATAAGGTACCTGGGAGATGTGGGGTCAGTTTCTACATTTGGGCATCTGTGTATGGCTGTTATGAAAGTAGTCTTCAAGTACAGGAAAAACAGGCACTCCTGCCCTTGCTTTTGTTGATCTGCAACCCCAGCATGAATGGAGGCAAAGGCAGTTGCTAGGAATGGACAGACACCTCTTATTTTGTTTATCAAGTTAATTTATTTAAGACATGGCGGTGATGAATTTAATGATAAAAAGCACCTTCCTACCCACTGCTTTCTGAATATTGGCAGTTCTTGTATATTACAGGATCTATATTGTAGGACCCTTATCGTATTCAAAAACTAGTTTACTTTTGAGCACAATGTTTTATTTACAGTTTATAAAGGAAGGAATCAACCTGTCATGGAGTACATCTCCAAAAGTAATGAAAGAAAGACTCTTACTGCTCTCACACTTCTGTACAAGCCAAGCAGGGCTCATAGTAAGCATAGCTGAAATTACCTGACACTGTAAGTATTTTCTGGAAGATGAAAAATTACTACTGTGGCTTTCAAAGTGGACATGGGCTGACTACAAATATGGCAATTACTGTAAATGTCCTCCTTGATGTACAGCACAGTCAATTTAATGTTTAACATCCTCTCCTCCTTTATCAAACATTTGTTTGAGAGGTCTATGGAGTATAAGATTTACAGTACTGCCTGTAGCACTGTTAGAAAATGATGCATGGCAATCTTTATTAATCACATTAGTAGGTAACATTAACAGGAATAACAGCTGCAATACACAGTCACACTTTAGGCCTTACAGAATCAAGAAAAAAAACTGTCATAGGGTTCTGGACTACAGATTTATATTTTATTTAAATGTAACATCTGTAGAATTTAACAGAGAATATGATGTTTTCTACACTTTGGTTTGTTTGGTTTTTTTTAGACGAAATCTCCTAATTTCTTAGAATTCAATGGCAAGTAACAATTGTTTTTGAAGTTATAACGGGTTGTTAAAAATCCTACAGGCTGCTTTGTATTTTCACCTTGGTTGTTTTAGCTATTTTAACTCATTCTTACATGACAAATACACAGTATTCTGATGTCTGCAGAGTATCTCTCTTCTTTGAACAAACTTAAACCTTTTGTGAGGATGCAATTCAAGTGAGCCTCTGTGTAGCTGACAGACATGCCATTTGGACTAAAGCCCCACAGCTCGTCACTGTGCAGCAGAAAGAGGCACTGAGATTTCCAAATGTGGCTCTGCAAATTTTCACATCCCCTAACCTATGACTATATCCTTGACATGAAGCAATAAGGAACAGCTTCCTTTGTTATCCACCTCTGCCAGGTTTTTTTTTTTTTATCTGATTCAAACTCTGATTTATACTTTAGAGCCATCCTTTCACATTCAGAAAATATATGGAAAAGATCTAACGTACTCCGTGCAACGGTGGAAAGAACTGTTTATCCTGAACAGCCAAGAATACTCCTTCTGGTAAACTACAAGGAAACCAACTTTTTATTCATCCTGCTTCAGCAGGATTTCATAGCTGTCACAAAACTTTAAAATATTCAGACTTGTGAGAAGTGCTTTATGCCTGTCTGTATGGTTATAAGTACATAAGCTACAAATCTGCATTATTGCATTGCCCCAGCTAACACACATTTTCAGGCTGATTTCACAACTGTGTGGAGTAAAATTGTAAAATTGTTCAAGGTTACGTTGTCCACATCAAAGATTTACAGCCTGAGTTTAAATAAAATTATTCTAATGTTGCATTTCCACTCCAAAGAGCAGTCTATTTTCCATCCAATAAAACATTCAAGAAATATAGGTTCAAATTGATCTTTTTTTTTTCTAGACAGGTCCAGACAATCTACAGCATTCTCTTGAAACTCACATTAGTATTAATAAAAACTGTTCTTTACAAGGTACCACAGAAACACACGAGCTAGCAATAAGCAGTGCATGGCAGGAAAAGGTGGAATAGACCTACTTGATTTTGACATATCATCTTCAGTTTAATTCTCTAAAAGAAGATAAAAGTATTTCAATCTTCTAACCAATATACTGAGGCAGAAAACACTGTTCCATTGCAAGATGAGAGATTCATTTAATTCCTATTCCTTCAAAACAGGAGCACATCTAGGATTGTAAATATATTTTGAAAATTGAGTGCTTCAACAATTTTAACTTCAGCCTTGTGACATTAGGTGGTTTTCAGCCCAGTCTCCTGAATCTGTATGAGTATTACAAAGATTCCGCTTTTCTCACTTGGAGAAAAAAAGCTTGAAAGGAGGGAGATTCCTGAAAGCCAGAGTTGCAGGAACATAGGGAGAAAACCTTCCTTGGACAAAAGTGACATAAAGCAGACTACAGCCAGATCTAATCAAGTTATCTGCAGTTCTCTGTTCCCAAACACAGACCTTTTTGTCCAGTTTTCCTTGCCAGGAGAATTCCAGGCTCATTAATATGCATGTGTGTGTTTCCTGAAAATGGGAAAAGCAGTGTTGTACAGATAAGAACTGGGTTGCAGATGCCCAGTCCTTCAAAGCATCCAGGACTCTTTTAGAGGCAATGTGTGCTCTGTGCAGCTGAGGCCAAAAATCACCTCTGAAGAACAGGTCCTACACTAACAGCAGATCCTCACAGTCTACGATTTCCTTCTGTCAGAGCATTCACAAAATACTAAAAGTGGCTTCATAAAGTCTGAATTGCCTTGTTTCATGAGAAAGTGGCTCAAGGCTGCTGTTCTCTTGATTAAGTAATGTGGATGTGTCTGCACTTTTGCAGAACACTCCTGGGTCAATTAGAAAAATTCTTTTGAACCATTTTTGGCCAGAACCATATTAAACATTTGAAATGGAATTCATCTCATCTAACCTTAGGGCATGATTCATCTGACTGATTTTAGACATCTAGGGAGAGACATTATTAAAAATACCTCATTCTTCCTACTATCTGCAAATGGGGCCTGGAGTGACCAGCACAGATGTAGATATAGGCCCATATTTGTCAAGATTATTTCAATCCATTCCTCTCCCGTGAACATATTAATGCACCATCACTTTTGTAAGATTATAATGCAGGAGAACTCTAGCGCAAAGTAGTCCCAACAAAAACTGCTCTGCCCCTGCACCTTTGTCTCAACACAAAAGAATTACTTTGCATCATGAAAAAATATGGAATAGATTTTTGCCTCTGAAAAATGAGAATGCTGTGAGAAATGTTTTACAGGAATATATTTATTCCATTCCTCCCACATTTATTTCTCCCAGCACTGACAGATGTTTGCATACCTCATGCCATGTGATGGGAGCTTGGTAATTGCAGAGCCCCTCTGGTCACGCTGACACAAACCCCAGTTTGTGACAATATTTTTCATACAAACACAAACAGATGAGCAAAAAATCTAAGGAGACAGTCTGTTATTGGAAAACGCTTTAGTTCAATCTTATTGATTTAAAAGCTAAGATTGATGCATGTGAACTTTTGAACTTACCCTTCCAGAGATGAGCTGCTGAACCTCTGAAGTTCACCCACTGCCTACTTTACAGTCTCCCTACATTTTCACATTAGATAACTCTGTTTGCTCACAAAGGTAATCTAGGTAAGTTATGCACAGCTGGCATGCATAAATTGTGCATATCTGTGACATCTGCCAGTGGACAAAACCACTCCAAGTATGATACATATTTCAAGAATGAGTGAATTAGTTCAAACTCAAGCTTTCTGAGCCATAATTAAATCAGATCTCTGGAAACATATGCAGTATTTTAATGGATTTTTCATAATTCAAGGTATTAATGTTTACTGGATGTGGAATTCTTTTAACCACAAAGGAAGTGTAATATTTTTATTACACTGCTAATGTCTTGCTAATGCTGTCTCATTAAACAAGCCAAAATAAATTTGTGCACTTTTTCCAGAATTGCAGCATCTGTGCATTTATTTATAAGAACTACTGATGGAAGAAGTATTGCATTTTTCTAACTCTTTTACTCTAGCTTTCATGAAAGCCAAACTACCCATACATTCTCTGTTATACTCTCACAAGTCTGTGTTATCTCCTATGTGAGAAAACATAGTGTGTTTACCAAAATATTTTCGGTGGCTCCTTTAATTAAAAACAGTAGAAGAGGATTAAGCATTAACTAATGAGGAGAAGGCCCAAAGAATGAATTTTTGCTTCCCACCAAGGTGTATTATTTCTTTGCAAGTAACAGACACCAAGGTATTCACCTCTTTGGCAACTACACCTAACTCAGCTGCTCTGGACATTTTTTTACTGCAAGGCTGTATGGCAGGCTGGAGGTGCTGAACCCCGCCCCAAATTGTGTGGATCCCTCATGGGAAATCCCCACTTAGTGGCTCAAACAGGAGCAGTGGGAACCCCTCCAGCTTTTCAGCAGAACCAGGACAAGCTGCCTGCTGCAAGTGTTCCCACACAGCAGTCTTCAAGGCCATGATAAATGGCACAGAGGCTGAGGATTACAGTCACTCCCAGAACCACACTGCCTCTCCAGCAGCCTGTCATCCATTTTGAGGATTGACTGGTAAATGACAGAAGAATTTGGAAATCGCTGTCCCAGCTGAATTTCTGTGCTTCCGTTGCAAGCTTGCTGTGCCAGGAGAACTGCTGGGTCAGAACTGTGCTGCACTGCAAAGTCCCTTTTTTGGAGTTAAGCTAAGGGATTATGAGGCAGAGGGAATAATACATCATTATTGACTTTAATAGGTAGTGAAATGAAATAATAAACAGTGAAAATTTTGGCTGCCAGAAAACCAATTTCTGACTGTGAGGACTATCACTATCCCCATGGAGATGAGGATTTGTGATTTCTTGATACAAAAGTGAGACTAAACTATAACTTAGAGAATATAAAAAAGTTTGGCAGACGGTGTTCCTGCACTGGCCCCTGGACCTGACTGGAGGATATTGCAGCATTGTCCCTTTTAAATCTGTGAAAATCTTTTACTTCAGAGCCTTTCATGTGTAACAAAATACTGACTATTGTTATGATAGGTATGTCTATTTCAAACTTATAAGACTCTCACTTAAAAAGTGGACAGGTAGTCTGCCCTTGAATGTACCTCAGATAGAGAATCGTGGTATTTTTTTCAGCATTGAACTTCTTTGCCACTATTATCCATGTGCCACAAGAAGAAAAATGATTTCTGGTTAAGGTTTATGCAATTTATGCCTATTTCCATCCCCACTGAGGTCAGTGGTAAAGCATGAAGCCCTGCTGACTGCTGCAGAAACAAAGGTTGGTTATTGAGGGATATGGCTACTGAATTCTTGTATTGCTCTGTGTGTGTGCGCATGTGTGTTTAAGATGAGGCAGACTTAGATGTATTGATTTTACAGCAGCTTTTTTCTCTGCTCTTAAATGAAGTGGAATGAGGAGCAAATAGCCTGGCAAACAAAAGAAACAGACCCAGTATTATAACTGCCTGAGGTTTTATAATCCAAGTGCAGAACCATACAGAAGCTTGGCTTGTGAGTCTCTTTGTTATATGCCCATGTGAAATCTCTGCCAAAATGTGGAGCAGCCCAAAACTCACCCTGTCCCCTACTGCAGCATTAAAGGTCAGGAAAAGTGCTTGCTAATAAAATACTTCATTGGTTTCTGTGGCTGTCTGCAACAACGGGACTGAGAAAGGCCTTTCCACCTGCCTGGCTTAGGTCAGGGTGCTTTTCCTTGGAGACTGCTGGTGCATTGCTGGAGACCAGGCTGCTCTGCTGTGGTCACAATCTAGGTTTATTCCAGTGGTGGCACCAACTGACTGGGAAACTACACCCCTCCCTCTCCTCACCCTTCCTCTCCCACTCCTTCCCCTCCCTGGAAGCTGGCTGATGGCTCTGATTGTGGAGCCTCCAGGAAAGCGGTCTTTGTCGTAAAAGGCCAAAGTTCATAAACTTCCATTTACATCAGTAAACACGAACAATTCTTCCCGAGCCTGAGAAATCAATTCCCACAACACATCAACCAGTCGTGCTTTAGTGGACTGAATTGAAATGCCCCTTCTAATCTGCATCAGAGGAATAAAATGGATCCTATCGCATAATGTGCAGCGATGGGAGGGGAAGAGGGAGCGGTACTCACCATTGCACATGCAGCGCACATTCCTGTAAAAGCGGGGACACACAAAACTAATTCGTGCTGTGCTGTAAGTCATCAGGGAATGTGAATCAATAGACAGACTTTGCTCACAGTGTTGTTCCTGACAATCCAGTCCGGAGCAATTCTTCTCCAAGATAGCAGAAATACGAATCACATTTTCCAAGTGTCTCCTCGCATTGGTAAGCTTCTGAATCAAATAGGCAGGCTTATAGAAACCACCGCTGTGCATCTGAACGGCAAACAGCATGTCGAGCTGGCTGCTGCCTGCCACCGGCTGAATGCTGATGATGTGCAGGCTGTCCTGCTTCTGGGAGAGCACCGCGTTGCGCAGGGTGCGCCTGAACCCGTGCATGTGGAGACCCACAAAGTCTTCCGGGGAAACGTTCTCGAAGCGGATGGTGACCGTGTTCTGCAGCATTTCTTGCAGCAGCTGCTCGACGTGGACCACAACATCGATGGGCACCTGGAACCGGCCGTCGCTCACAGAGACATTCAGGACGTACTTGCCGTTATCCAGCCCTCCAAGGGCGATGATCTTCCCATCGTGGCTGTTGACCTTGAACAAACTTTTCTGCTCTGATTTTAGCGTGTATGTGAGGACATCGTACACGTCCTGATCTGTGGCATGGATTTTCCCAATGACTCCCCCCGGAAAATCGTCTTCCATGGTGACAATGAAAATCTCCAGCGGAATGGCGGTCGGTTTGTGAATGCTCTCTTCAATAACCCTCACCTGAACATACGTATGGGAAACCTGCTGAGGCTTCCCAGAGTCCTTTGCCTAATGTAATTTAGAAAAAAAAAGTAGAAAAAATACGAAATAAAAACACACATGGAACACAGCCTGCAACCATAACTTCTTGCTATGTATATTCTCACAGCATCAGTAATTCTGAAAAGAATTTCTCAGAAGAACACTCAAATGCATTTGCCAAATATATATGTAAAGAAGTGTCTCAGCCATTTCTAGCAGTGGAACTTACACGTGCTTTAGGGAAGCACTGATCTCTAAGTGGATTGCAGAGAGAAATGTGTCAGTAGAATGTCTCATTACTCAAACTGAAATGTTCCCAGGATCCCACAGCTATCACTTGTCATCTTCACAATGGAGACTATACCAACAACGTGATATATTCTGCTCCAAACACAGTTTGGGCTCACTTCTACCCTGGAGAAGGGACTGAATTTCAGTAAAATGTCAGCCTTCTGCATTGCTTGGTGTGCTCCAAAGCACTCCATACCTTTCTTAGCTTGTGTGGATGTGAGGGAGTTCAGAATTTTTCTACAGCATTACATTCTGCACTTCTTTACCTGAAGCAATCAAGAAACATGCTTGACATAAATAAAATTTATCATCCTCCAAATATGAAATAGGTGCTTGTGCTGTTACCAATGATAAAATATGAGAGCAGCACTGCAGCTGGAAAGATGACTGGATGACCCAGAGCAGGTATTATAGCATCATTTGCACTATTTTTATAGGAAGCAAAAGAGCAAGTATGACAAAAATCCCAAGGCCATCTTGACAGAATGGTGTGCAAAATTGAATCAGGGTCCTTTCCTACAATAAAAAAAATGTTTTATTGCAGTCCCTATTATGATACACTGCTCCACACATTTATTTGCTTCAGAGAAGAACAGAAGACTAAACTGGCACTAGACAGAGATGTAGGACATGTTCAAAGATCTTTGTGTTTGGACATGGGAGGAAAATTTACAAGCTGAAGGAAAAAAATGGGAGGATGACAACAGTAATATGGACACTACTACGAGCAGATTAGTAACTCTAAGACACTCTGAAATTCATTCATCCTCACTCCTAAAAGAGATCTGTGGAATATTTAAAATATTTTTTTATATGTGTGCACAGAGAAAAGATTAGGTCTCATTCCATTTTCTACTTTAACATTAATTCTTAATAAACCAAATACAGTGGAGAAACCTGGTAGTGGAAAATATAAAGCAGCACTCTAGCACATATGGATGGAAAGAAACATTTCTATGGTTTAAACACAACAGAAAACTATAAAATATGTTTTCACTGCAGGAATCCCTGAAGAAAATAATACTGGGAGAAATCATGCCTCTGCAATCCAACAGCATGGTTTTCTGAGCATGTTGGTGCACCTCAGACATGGTGGTCTGTCTAATATTTCATTTACATGAAATATATGGATCTCTAAACCTGGAGGATGCTGCTCAAATTTAACTCTCATGCCCAGTTTTGGCTACACTAGAACTCCAGCTAGCAAATGACCCTGAAAGCAGGATATTTTACTATTAAGGCATGGTAAGAAAGAAAGAAAGGTGATGATTTTTTATTTCCCTACAAGGCTAAAAAATAGGTTTCAAGGATATTACATAGCAAACTTGTAAAACTTTGATTTGAGCTGTTAGTTAGCATCAGAGCCTATATTTTGTGAATTGTAACCAACAATTGCCTCGAAGGATGCTACTGCTGTGAACATCATTAAATGTGCTTGTAAAGGAACCGACAGGCTGTGCTGAGAGAGATCAACCCCAGCAAAGCAAGTGGAGGAAGCAAGAATTTCAGACACAGCTTATGGGACTCTGACTCATTTCAGTGAAGAGGTTCATTCCCTAGACCTGCATATTTACTGAACCCTAATACATCTTCTCTGACAGACCTGAGAAATGTGGACAAATTACTTTTGGATTTACAGATTTTGGCAATCAAAATTACCCTGGTTACAAAGCTCCTCAACGATCATTCTAAAGATAAGTTTGAGCTGGACTTCTATTGCATGTCTTATTTTGACATTCTTTAAAAGCTAAGTTGACCTTGGAAATGTGATTTCATGAATTCTTGGAAGGCTTCCAAAATTTATGATTAAATTTATGACTTAAAAGCAGAAATTATTTTCATTCCTAAAGCAGTATTTTGCAGTTGCTTGTTCTGGGGTGTATTTATATGTATATAATGCATTTTTTCTTATTTTCCTTCCTTAGCTACAGAAAAAAAATGATGAAAATCTTAAACCATAACGGTCGCTGCTCAGAAAATTCATTTCATGCCGAGGAAATTGGAAAGGTGGCTGGCTACCTATTTATATTTATATGAAACCAGGTTTAAGAACATCAAAGAAAATATTCTGCATTGTGCATTTGCAAACTGGAATGTGTGGTATTTACTCGTAGAATACAGCTCACTAAAAACAACCCATACAGGCAAAGTACAGGTTACCTACCACTAAGAAATTTTTTATTTCAGTGTAGAGTGTAGATGTAAAAATCAAGCCTTACCTGCACGCAGAGCACATACTCAGTTGAGACCATGTGCTTGAAGATGACTGCAGACCTCAAAACGCCATGAGGGTCCAGTGTAAACTCCTCCTCTTCATTGCCAGTGAGGATGGTGAAGGTAAAAGGGGGGCCATTGTGAAAAGAGTCTTTGTCTGTCACTACCAGCTGCAAAATGCTTGTGCCCACTGGTTTATTTTCCTTTACACATATACACAGCGTATAAAGAAAAGGATTAAAATGATACATGTTGCAACCATAAAACAACACATTTTTCTATTGTGAATATTCAACTGAACGCTCTTTGCCCAAGCTGGCATTTCACAAGCTGAGTTCTGCTGACACCATTTACAGCCCATGGACCAGCGGCAGAGATGAAGGCACCCACCACACCTCCAGGCCTGCTGGGCTCTCTCTGATACAGGACTGACTAAGAGTCAAGAATCACACCCAGAGCAAGGCATAAAGGAGTGTGAACTTAGAGCAGACATTTTGAGGTTGGAGTACCTGGTGCAGCAGGGATGAATGCTAAAATGTGTGACAGATGCTGTGGTTAAGGAGCCTCAGCAAACAGAAACTTACCAAAAGACTCAAGAAAGATTTGTTTATATTTTTCTTTAGATAAAGATCACTTGATACATGTTTTGCAGATAGATCATCAAAAGGTACTTAACTGAAACCAAATGCCCGTGCATTTTAGAAGTCAGAGAAGTTTTTGATGTGCAGGATAAACTTACTTGAATTACAGCTGTGTAGTTAGCTGGAGTAAACACAGGGCTGTTATCGTTCACATCAGAAATGTCCACATTGACCGTCACAGAGGAAGACAAAGGAGGGGTACCACTGTCTCTTGCCTGGACAACTAATGAATAACCAGATATCTGAAAAAAGGTGAAAACATTAAATCACTGTGAAAACAGTTCTAAATTTTAACCCAGGTTCTTTACATTGCACCACCTTCCATATTCTAAGGAAAGCTGTTTGGCCTCATTGCCTTCCCGCTCTTAGTATAACATTATCCTGTTTATCGCCACATTGTGCCCCAACTTCTGTTTTATAAGGCAAGCAATAAATATAACAGCTTCATTGTATTAAAATAACTGTATCAGATAAAGCATTCCTGAAACAAAGGGGCAGACAGAAAACAAATGACAGATAATATCTGAACTCAGCCATTAGTCATGTAAGCTTACATTTTCATCTCTCCTAAGTGTCCGCTGGGATAAGTGACCTGATTCTATTTATCTTACAGTTGGTTTCCAAGACATTATATAAATTGCTTATTAGAGCCAGTTTGACACATACTGTTTCTAAAGCGGCGATGGAGAGCCAAGAAAAAGTTCACAGGCAGTTGGCTTAAACACACTGGAAAACATTTGGGAGTATGAGGGACAACAGTCTCTGTAGCAACAGAATACTATCCACCACTCTGCAGAAGATAAGTGGGCTTGAGTCTGCTTCTTTGCAAGACACAAACAGCGCAGTGCAGGCAGTTCAGTGCATCATCCACAGGCCCTCCACACACATATGTGCCCGTGTGTGAGGTGTGAGCATATGTGACAACTTGCAAAAGCTCTGTCTATGCACAGTTTATGGGTGACAGTTGGATTTTCCGAACTGCATCCTTATGTTGGCTTCCTTAGGTCTTACAACTGCTTCTTGCTGTATATTGCTCCTTGCTCCACAGGGAAAGCTGCTGACATGTCTGCCCCTGAATCTCCCACAGTGGAGCAAGAGAAGGGCGAAACATGCCAGATACAACACTCTGCTCCACCCTCTCAGTGCAGGGCTGGAAAGGGGAAAAGCATGCTCCTGCAGAGGGGAACAAGATAATGTTCAAGGGGCTTTTTTGGGAAGGGCGTGGGAGGGAAGGAAATCCAAATACATTTGGAAAATGACAGCTTTTTTTGTGGTGGGAAGGAGCTCACACTGAGCACACAAAATAAGAAGGCTCTTCTGGGATGTGGAATCAATACGAAGCAAAACGGAACATATTTTTGGGGGGTTGTATGGAGGAGATAGACTGTGATTTGGTGGGGCCAAAGTGACACAGGAGGGAAGAGGAATTCTGAACTATAGAAAGTAAGATAAGTAATCTCTTTTTTAACCATAATTTCCACTGCTAGCTAAAACCAGAGAGTTTTGTAGAATCTTTCCAATTTTTTTTTTTTTTCTGTGTTTGCTTTCATTTCAATGTATCCCAGAAAGGTAGATGGCCAAAGTCATGGTCTCCGTGTGATTACAGCTCTGGAAATAAGTTCCCTTAAACCACTGAATCCTGGGAGTCAGCACTACCTTTGGGGATCTACAGCAGATGGGGCATCATATATAATTTTTCCTGAAGGGGTCAGAAACACCTGTGTCTAGGAAATGCGCCAAGGAAGCAAAGAAAAAGGCAATATCACAGCTTATTTTAACTGAGGGAAACCTTGGAAAATGCAGACCTAACACAGCTGGCATTACACATGCACACTCTAGTGAAGGTAAGTGTGTGTGTCTGAATGCAGCCGCACATGACTGAACTTCAGAAACTAGAAAAAGTCATATTAAGGAACTCAGCCTGTGCTTTTATTACAGTCAACTTGTAACATGCACAGCCATTGTTACTCCCCTGTTTTAGACAGTCTGTGGTAAAGTCATTTTACCACCAAACATGAACAATTTAATCCTACTTTTGTGAAAATACTGAAAGGGGCTTTTGCCACTGTTTTAAGTAGCAGGTTTGCTTCCAGTAACGAGCTTGTCCAGCTGAGCCCATATTCTGAAGGTAGCAATCTGCTTCCCCGGTTTTGTGGGTGCATTGCTGAGAGGCAGGAGGCACAGATTTCCTTATGTGCTGCAAGGTTTCTGAAGCCACGTAGCACTCTCCTGCCCTGCTAGTAGCACAGGCAACTGCATTTGTTTGTTTTTTTCCCCAAAAGCTGCTAATTGCTAGCTATGGCAAAATGGTGATAAATAATCCTGAATGAATAATGGAGTGAGCAAACAAAGCAGCAGAACCTATTTAATGAAGCACTCTTTCACTTTTGGTACAGCCTGGCCACTTCATAACATCCCCTCCCCAGTGACATGTTTTGCAGAGCGCTAATTAATGGCTGAGGTCTCAGCTCGGCGCTCGGTGCCACAATCTGGAGCGTTTTGTAACCCCTCTGTTGCACACACAGCTGCACGTGTGAGCTTGCACACACAGGGAGAGGAGGCAGCTCATTAACACAGCAGCAGCTCCTGCTGGCACCACGGGAGAAATCCAGGGCTGCTCCTCTCCCCTGATGCAACCCCAGGGGCTGTGAGGGTGCAGGGTGGGGGTGGCAGCAGAGCAGTTGGCATGTAGATAGACTGGGGACAGGGCTGGCACGGAAAGAAGTGGGGAAATGTTAGAAAGACCTGTTGGAGCATCTCAGGCTGATTGCTGCAGAGTATAAAAGAAACTCCTTCAACACAAGCTAGCAGTAGAGTGGAGATTGATGCACATCTGTAAGTCATTGCAAGTTAAGGAGTCCCACATGTCTTACCCTTTCTCTATCCAATTTCTTTTTAACCTTCACGAGTCCCAAAACAGGATCAACTGAAAATTCATTGTCTTGATCTCCATTCACTATGGAAAAATGAATCTGACCATTGGGAGGACTGTCCAGATCTTCTGCTATCAACTTTTTTTGAGAGAAGAATAAAAAATTAGAAAACACAAATATCAAGTGATCTGTATGATACATTAATTGCTCCACACACCAAAAAGTAAACTTTACATTCCATCAGACTAGTTATACCTGAGCTGCACACCTCTAAAGCATCAATCCAATAGGTTTTTGTTAGGAGGCTTCACTTGGGCCTTTTCAAAATTCTAGTCTGAGAACATAGAGAATATTTTAATCTTAATATTCCATACAACACTCTCTCTCTGGAGCCACAAGTTGCAAGATGAGAATATTGTGAGGTTTGGGGATGGCACACTGCATGCCAGACTACACAAATACTATGTATTTGGAGCTCTGAGCAGCCTGGCGCAGTGAAAGGTGTCCCTGTGCACAGCACAGGGATTGGAACTAGATGATCTTTAAGATCTCATCCAAGCCTATCACTCTATGATTGTATTTCACTGAAAAGTAGAATTGTGCCTTTTTGTTAAAACCTGTCTGTTTTTTTCTAGCTGATTCAAATGCAACACCTAAAATATGCCATTATTCTCTGACAGCACAACAGGGTTAAAAAGAATGGCTCAGTACTGCCACTTTCTTTTGGGGAGAAACTAACAGCAGCTTGGGGAGAAGTAGCAGATGCAGAGTATTGTCTAGAAAATGGTTTGGGGGCCTCAAGACGTAATAATTATCATAATTAAGCAGCGCAGCAGCTTTTTAGGGGCAGAGGGCTTCATGGCACCTAAGTGCCACCCAGGGCCCCGCTCACCATGACCACGGAGTCGCCAACGGCCGCGTCCTCGCTGATGACGGCGCTGTAGACAGGCTGGCTGAAGGTGGGCGCGTTGTCGTTGACGTCCGTCACGTTCACGTTCACCGTCGCAACCGCGCTCAGGGCCGGCGTTCCTCCGTCCTTCGCCTCCACCACTAAGTAGAAGTCCTTGCACGATTCAAAATCCAAAGCTTCAATAATGGAAATCACTCCTTTGAAGCAAAGGAGGGAATGTCAACAGCCGGCAAAAAATAAATAATGCCGCAGAGCAAGGGATTTGACTGTAGTAAACAGTGCAGCATGCTATTTATCGCCATGGCACACATACAACACTAACTGTAAGACTGCCCAATCCAATAAAAATGTTTATTCAGGTTTCTACTGCTGTCGTTTGATTAAAGAATGATGCCAATTGCACTTGGGTTGCCTTTGTAGAGAGGACCTTTACAAGGCATGAGGCAATGAATGGTTCCTCATGAAAATAGCTTTCATTACGTGAGTATCATAGATGAAGAAGTGGGGGCCATATTCACCCATTTACCATCTCATTCACAGAGCCTTTGGGAGAACTGGATGCCGACTCTGGAAATAAGCCCTGACAAGTCAACAGAAATTCACTCCCACACAATTAACTTCTCATGAATTAAATACAAATGAATAGGATATGAATACCTCTGAGAAATCAGCTGTCTATCATTTAAGTGATTAAACAGAGACTTCCCCACTCAACTAGGTTTATAAATTTTGTGTAACTTCACCACACAACCAAAATTAAGATTCTCTGTAACTTGATTCACTGCATGCATCCAGATTCCCTCTAGGACAGAAATGATCTGATTTCTAGTGTTCTTACAAACCTCCAACAACATCAGCTTCCTAACCTTCTTAGGAAATTTATTTCAGGCCTTAATATACATTACAGCTAGGAATTTCTTCCTATTATTTTACCAAAGTAATCCAAATGTAATTTAAGCCCGTTCCCTTCTTATGACTGGGCATGGACTACAATTTATTTCCCTTCTTCTTCACAGGTAATTTCTATAGGCATGAAAACTAACAGCATGTCTTCTCTTTTCTAGCTGAAACAGCCTTAATTCCTTCAGTCTTTCCTGTTAAGTCACATTTTACAGACCTCAGACTATTCCTCTTAATCTTGTCTGGGCTCTTTCCAAAGAAATTCCACCTTTCAGCATGACTTGCTGAAAGCAGGAGCCCTGAAGAGAAGCTTCCAAGTGGCTAGCAGAGAGTTAGGTCCCACTGATAAATGGTGTGAAGGACATTATTTTTCATGCTTTGATCAGGCATGCTACATCACCACTCTGCTGTATAGAAACTGAGCTCCTGCCTCTAAACGGATAATAATGGAGCTGTCACACATTAATGAATAATACATAGTTTTAGTTTTGGGGTTTTTTTTCCTGTGTGATTAAGCTTCATTATGGGTTTTTATTGATTTATTTCCTTGGCTTCATTGTCAAATGTGAAGTTAAGTATCGCTGCCTAGGCATATTTATGTTTAAATTTTGCTAGCACTAATCAACATGATGAAGATGACAGACAACATAGAGTTATGTTACGTCCCTCACATGAGAGGCAGCAGCCTCTGCAGAGTGGAGAGCAATTTTTGCACACAATTATAAAAATGACACAATGCATAATTTTGAGATTTTTCATGTTACTGGCTATTACAGTTGCACCCAAAGAAGTGCTCTCTTCAGCTTTTAAAATCAAGATTGCTTTGCTCTCAGACTGTGGTGGCAGGTTTGTACTGCACATTCTGGATGCTATGAGAGGAAGGGCATCCACTACAGGATGCACAGAAGAAACAACTTACAGTTGATGAAATAAAAACTCAGTGAGGATAAGTAATATATCCTGCTAAGGAAATTCAAAGAAAATGAGCCATTTACACCAAATATGATACCTTTGCTTGGTATTTCTTATGGAGAAGCAGTGGTGGACTGCTAAACCAAAAAGACCTCAACCCAAGCCATGGCTGAAGTCAAAAAGACAAATCAGAACCTAAGTCAGGGAAGCTGCATATAGCTACACAAATGGCAATCATGTATTAGGACTGAATTGCTCCTAACAGGTCCTGGTAGCACTGGTTGATGCTTTCTAAGGGGCAGACAGTTGAGGCTGTACTCAGCTGGTAAGCAAGTGAACATTGCAAGTGTTCAGAAGTGTTTTGCAGAGTTTGGCTAATAGGTTGTCACATCTATATTGGCTTCGACAGACTTACTAATGGAGAAAAGTATTCTCCACTTGAGCTGGGGCAGCCATGTGTGACTGTAATTGACATCACTCTCCAACCTAAAATTGCTTTTTAACTGTGTAGTTAATTACACAATGACAAGCTGTGAGTCTCTGGCCTTGGAAGTCTTTTGGTCCAAGAGCCTTCCCCAAAGCATTCATGTTTTTTCTGATGCTTTAATTTAGCACTGCAAGTAAGAGCCATTTCACAAACCTGTTTTTGAGTTAATCCTGAACTTCCCTTTCTCATTCCCTGATCTGATGAAATAGGCAATCTCAGCATTTGTACCAATGTCTTGGCTTGTAGCAAAAACAGAAAGGACCTCGGTGCCAGGTGAGGTGTCTTCAGGTACTGTAACAAGATAATCTCTTCTTTCGAACACGGGAGGGTTGTCATTAATGTCTAGCACTGTAATGGTAACGGTGGCAAACGAGGATAAGGTCAGCACAATGCTTTGATCTGAGGCCTTTACAGTGATGTTATAGGAGGACTGAAGCTCTCTATCAAGTGGATGCTCCAAAATAATGATTCCTGATGATCGGTCAACTGAGAAGTAACCATCTGCAGAGTCTGACAGGGAATAGGTGACTTTTCTGTTCACGCCTGAAAGAAAAGCAAATGGGAAAATGAAAATGAGAAATAAAGAGAAGAAAAATCTCTCCCCATATAATGGAAACCCTAAGCAAAATCTGCTATCACACTGAGCATTTCCAGTGGGGGTAGAGGTAGGAGTGCCTGTGGGTACAATATTTCTGAAAGTTGGGAGGTCAGGGCATGCTCTTCTAACATGACAAATCCCTGTGGATAAGTCAAGTTCCTTCCCTCATCATGATACTTTTTTTTGAGGATTACTTTGCAAAACTGTTTGATATTGAAACTCGAAAGCAGAACCCAGATATGGTCCTTGCCCAGAACAGCTTATAATTGAATTAGATGAGACAAGCAGAATGCTGAAATTGGAAATGTCTCAGAGCACATCTTGAAGGAATAGAAATGTACATAAGGGGAAAACAAACCCGTAGAAATACATCAGGTGGCACAGAATGTACTTGCTACCAGTGCTGCCTTGATTCCACTGTTGAGCAGAAAAATATTATCATAAGATGATACCTTCTAAACAAAAGCTGCATAAAAAAACTCCTGCCGGAATATGAACATTTTGAAAAGGAAAGTCCCTCTGTTCCCCAGCCTAAGAGCAAAAATTGAGTTGTACAAAAGATGTCCTGTGTTTTTCAAATCCTGCCCGTATTTCCCAATACAAAGCACCTATCCACCTGGCTGCTGAATATGCAGATTTGTGCTAAGGTTGTTGTCAGTAATAAGGCCTGAGGGGATGGTACTGACTTGGTTTCTGCACTACAGTGGGATAGCCATTTCAAATCTAATTAAAAGTGAACACAGATATAAGCTAATTCAAGTCCCTTGATGCTAGCTGATTTTGTGATTTCATCCTGGGTGCTTCACTAAGAGATTATAACTAAAACACAAAGATCCACTAAAATGGAGAGTCTCTGTTTTCAACATCTCTCACTTGAGCATTTGCTGCTGTTTTTGTTGGAGAACAGATTTTACAAGCCTGACATTAATCAGATGAACAAGAGCTACCAATCCCTTCTAGGCATATTTTGTTAATTTAAAATTTGTGACAGTATTATTCTGCTTTCCAGCAGCAAAGCATTGTAGAAATGTCTGATCAAAAGCAGCACAAATCACAGTTGTTTTCTGCTTGATGTAGCAGGAGTTGAGCATCCACACAAGGGGGAGCTGGGAGACTCTTTGTTCAATCACATGCACATAAAAGCTAGAGCAACTACAAAGTCCCAGACCCTACTTGAAGGGCAGTAGGAATTATTATTTGGCTCTTCAGAGAATGAAGTTTTTATGCAGTGCTTGAGACACCAGAGCATATTTAAAAGGTTCAAATGTCTTTAAAATATAGAACAAATTAAATGGCAATATGGCAGTGAACTAGGCTGTTAGGTATTTTTGTGTTGTTTTGGTTTGGTTTTTTAATCACAGCAAAGCCTGTCTATTCATCATAGCATCACAAATGTGGAAAATAAAATGTCCCACCTTCAGCAAAACAGCAAGGCAATTAAGGAACTGACTCCTGTCCTACAGAGGAGGAACTGAGCCCATGAATTCACAGGAAATTCCCTCATGTTAAAACACGAAGGCTTCTATAGCTGCTGGAGAGCATACTCACCTCTTTCCTTAGTCTCTTGATACATACATCCAAATACTCTTCCAGCTGACAGTCAACCAAACTTACAAACATTAAAAAGGAGTAAAACCCTCTAGAAAGTGGAAGATTTTCATAGTCTAAATGGTTGAAGGTATCTACATTTCCAGCTGGGAAGGATCTCCTTCAGCTACACATCCTCCAACTTGTACTTATAAAAAAAGGACAGATATGACCATAACAATTAATGAGTTAGTAGTAACAGCTGATCCTCAGGGATGCTGGAAAATGGGAATTTTTTTCCCCTTGATTTAGAGCATGCTGCTGAACACCAACCTGCACATGAGTTTTAAGTGCAAAACTATTTAGTGTTCTGCACTAGCAACTCTTGGTGCCTGCTGGTTTCTGCATAGTATCAAACACTCTGAGGCAGGGGCCCTAACACACAACTTCTACACACCTGTAACTGCAGGACAGACTTCGTCTGCTTTGCATTTTTCTCTGGCACAAACTCTCTTTTTGATACAGCACTACAGCACACCTGGGCACAAGCCAGAAGGTTCATATACCACAGTCCTTGAGAGCACACACAGCTAGAAAGGAAATGGCCAATGGATGCCTTGTGTCTTGGAACACCAGGAAACTTCAGCAAGAGTATCTTGCAATGGGGAATGGGGAGATAGAATTTGGTGCAAGCGATGGTATGGAGGGTGAGTTTATTTACAGGAGGCAATATCTCCAGTAAAGGCAATCCCACATATAATCTAGCCCCTTTCCTTGTATTCTAATTCCTAAAAGTGATGTCCACGAATTAACAAAATATTAAAAATGTTTTTTGTAAGCCATTGCTGGTGTTCCTACAATGGAGACAGATCAGATACAGATTATGGTGTTCTAGTTGCTCACTGTAACATAAGGGATTTTTAGGCAGAAATGAGAAATGGAGACAGTAAAATCTTGAAGGTAAGTGCTTTTATTTTTCCTCCCTGGAAAATAAGAGAGGTATACAGAAATTCCAGAGATATAGGTTATCTTGTACCAGTCTGGTATGATGAACAGAACAGTCTTATTTTTCCCATAGGATATGAAAGAAAAGCTCTTACAGGTGAAAGTGCCATTTTATGCAAGGAGAGACAGAAGATCAGGTCAGAAGACCTAAGTGAGTATAGAGATACCAACCCTTGGTGGCTTTTGGCCTAAATGCCAAAAGGAGAAAAAAAGGAGACATACAGAGGGAGATCTGTGTGCTGATGCTCTCATAGTGTTTTGAGGGGTGGAATTTAATACCTGCTTCTTAGGAGTAAAATCATTGAAAAACTGAGGCAGAAACAGCACTCTGAAGAAGTGTTGTGTTACATCAATAGCTGTTTCTACCGAGCTTTCTGACCCAAGGCTGGGAGAGAAATGGGCATGAGGCAAAGGTGAAAAAGGAAGCTATTTCTATTGAAATTCAAAATGCTTTAGTCCAGGGGCTACCCTATCCTGAGAGAGAAATGTCCACCAGCGTGTATGTGTCAGTGGCATCCCTGCCACAGAGGTGATGGTAAATTCTGTTATAAAAGGAGATGCTTTCTGTGGAAAAGAAACAACTGCTTCAATGCCATGGTTCCTGCACTGGTAAAGAGAGCAATCCTCCCACACTGCTTGCCTACAGCTGTTGGGGGGTTAATGTTTGCAAACTGTTTTGTGTCAACTCACTCACTCAAACTTCTCAGATTTCCAAGGTGCCAATCATGAGCATGAGCTATTTGAACAAGGAAAGCCTTTGCAGGAATCACTATTACAATAAGAAAATTGCAGTACATTTCTTTTTAAATAAAGGAATAAGGTAGCCCATTTTCTATTTAGAGTTGTATTAGCATGTGATAGAATATTGCCCTTTGCCAAATCTCTGGTGTGCAGAGCTTGTAAAACATACACCTGCCTAGTACTTCAAACTCCATTCTTCAAATAGGCTTTTATTCTTGGTTTCTTCTGTACTAAAACAAAGGGCCACACACTCAATGTCACATCATGACAACTTCTATGTCATTACTACTTTAAGTAGCATCAGGAATATATAGTAACTTTGCTTCACAACTCAGCACTATCAATATCCTCCTTGTATAAAGCACAGAATCATAGAATCATTCAGGCTGGAAATGACCTTTGAGACCATCGATTAGCCCAGCACTGTCACTGTGAGGCCACCACTCAACCACGTCCCCGAGTGTCACATCTACACATCTTTTTAACACTTCCCGAGGTTGTAACTCAACTGCTTCCTTGGGCAGCCTGTTCCAGTGCTTGACAGTACTTTCAGAGAAGAAATTGTTCCTTTTCTCTAGTCTAAACCTCCCGTGGCTTAACTTGCTGCCATTTCCTATTGTCCTACTGCTTATTACTTGGGAAAAGAGTCTGACCCTCAACTCACTACAACCTTCTTTTAAGTTGCTGTAGCAAGAGAGACGGTCCCCCCTGAGCCTCCCTTTTCTCCAGACTAAACACTCCCAGCTCCCTCAGCTGTTCCTCACCAGACTTGTGCTCCAGACCCTTCCCCAGCTCCGTGTCCCTTCTCTGGACACGCTCCAGCCCCTCAATGTCTTTCTTGCAGTGAGGGTCCAGAACTGAACACAGGATTTGAGGTGCATCACAACTGAAAATGGTGGAGTTACAGCACATTTTGATCCAGACTGACACCAATTTAAAGGCTGAGCATTAACCCAACAGGCACAATCCCCATATGACAGTAAGTTTCTCTAGTGGGCAATACCTTTATGCATCATGCATAAAGTAGAAATTACACATAGTAAAACCACTCATAGTGTTTCTCCTTTCAGTTTTCATCTGTCAACCTGAACTCATTATTTAATGTGTTTCCCCAAATACAGCTAGACCACTCAGTTTATGCCTGAAAAATGACATTAACTTTTGTCATCTACTCGTTTTCATTTCGAAAACCTATGAAAAGAGGTGTAATGGCAAGTATTAAAAATAAACAAACAAGATGTAGACCAGAAAGCAATCTGAAAAAAAATTGTTTTTCAGTTTAGTCTGGTTTGCAGACATACAAAGCAAGCTATCTGATTATTGTGCTTCCTCTTGCCTCTTTTATGATGTGATGATTAACACTGGTGTGTACCTATGACCTTTCCCAACTCCCCAAATGTTAACCACAAGGCCAATTACTAGTAGATAAAACTCCACAACTTCGTTAACAACAAACAAGACAAAAGATGAATTCTAAAACAGATTTTATAGTACTCTACTCCATCATTTTGAGATGAAAGAGAAACCTTGCCTGAAGTGCCTTGTTGAACTGTAGAAGAATATATAGCCCCATAGGGAAAATATTTCAAGTGATTTTTACAGCTTAAGCAGAAAACCTGGCTGAGTTCAATCTATAACACTGTTACCAAGATAGACTTTCACTGTTTTTCCC